TGAATTGTACTCTGGAATACTGACATTTAACAGAATTGTCAATCTTTTGGACGGGTTATAATCTTAAATCATTATCATAAGGAGAAAATGAGGAAGGAAGAAAAACTAGTTCAACAATTGGTATAGATGAGTTTTTCTTTTTGGTCATAGTATTGTTTTCAGTAGAAGTATTTTAGAAACAGTGGAAACTAGGGTATATGATGTATTTGGAGGAATTCTCGTTTCCTTAACTCTTGTGACAGTATTTCTCTAAAGTCCTTACTTACTTTGAGATGATTGGGAAATGAAACTCTTCTTCCATGTTAGTATTTTATTTTCCTCAGACTATGATAAATATGAATGGGTACTCATTCCCAGGGCACCAGTGCTTATCCAGCAATTGTGTAATTCCTTAATTTGTAGTTGGGTTATACTAAAATCATATTTTGAACTGCTAACATTCTTTGGGATTTAGATTAAATGATCTAAGTCCTATTTTATTAATTAGAATTTGTTTTACTTTATTCACTTCAGTGTGGTTGGGCAAGTAGGTTAACAATAGACCTGTTATGTCACTGTGTATTACTTAATCATAATGATCATCTTTCTTATTTTCTACCCAGTTTATTATTCATGCCACATACAGTCACATAGCCATTAACAAGTATTTTTGTTGTTGTTTTGTTGTTTCACTACTATTATTTTTCCATAAAAGGGTAGTGAGGTACTTCACTTACTAGCACTAGGAGTTTTTAGAAAATGTTAAGACAACTGTCAAACTATTGTCTGGAAAGACTTATTCTAGCTTTATATAAATGTCTTCAGCTACTAGCTAGTGTTCATTAATGGCAATACTGCCCTCTGGTGTTCAGTAACCAATTCAGCTCATATTTTTCCCAGTTAACTTCCCAGTTGAATCACTTTAGATTTTAGATCCCTTTTTGAAAGTGATTAGTTGATTTACTTTAGTTTACTTTCTGGCTTGAAGCCCATTGGATCGAGTAATATGGAGTTGCATTAGAGTCAGAAATTTGTTTGCTTATCTGTCTTTTGATAGGTAATAGTATCTAAGGGCTGTCTGTTTGTGTGTGTGTGTGTGTGTGTGTGTGTGTGTGTGTGTGTGTGATATAACACTTTCCTCTGTTTACAAGGAAAGTGTTCCTAATCGTTAATTAAAAAAAAGAAAACACAGAACATTGGATCAGTGCCAACTTTTTAAGAGATAAATCATTATTCTCTTCCCTTCACTTTTGTAACTGATGTGTTCATTTTTCATTTCATTCTGAATATGAATCGTAATTTCTTTTGCCTATGTTTTTTCTTCACAAGCACGCCTTTCATATAATGATAGAGGTAAGACGCATTGATGTTTGTTTTATGGTTGTGGAACTTTTTGTGGATGCATACTAAACATTTTGTCCTTAAATTTTTGTTGTTATTGTTTTATTGTGCATCCTTTATAGTTTATATACATTTATATTATAAAGATTCCTCCCCTACTTTCAGTATAAAAATAAGATTTATTTAACCTAATACTAGCTTTTGTTTTTAAAGAATTATTAATCTTTACATTTATCTAAGGTAGAGACATACTTTCGCTGATTACAATGTAATACATAATGATTCAATTTGCCTTAATGACCTAGTATTGCAAGTTTTATTGTGTGTCTTATACTTAATTGTTAACCTACTCGTTTTAACTAATTTTGTAGTATAGCCCATTATCTTTTAATGAGAAATATATATTTTCAAGTATAATTTCATCTTTGGATTATCTAGCAAATGAACTAGCTGCGTGAGTGTGGTTTCTTCTTCGTGTGCTTTCTAGAGGTTTAATGCTATTAAAGACTAGAATTCATTCTTCACATGGAAGATTCAGAAATAAGTAAAATGATCACTATTGGATATTTTTCCAGTTCTGGTAATCTCAGTATATCTTCTCATGTTATCTTCTAATGTCATTAGAAGAAATGTAACCAGAAACATATTTTAATGCTTATCATTTGGTTTGAAGAAATAGCACAATATTGCAAGCTGGAGACTGAGGGAGGTTTTCAGAGATTCTGAAAGCCTTCTGTTTGCTTCCCTAGATGTATGTTTACTGTGGAGTAGAACAAAGCCATGTCTTATAGGTGATAACAGAATATTACTGATATTTATGAAGTTTAAGTTTCCATTTATCTCTGTAGGGGTTCATTCTAAAGATATAAATCTGTATTCCTAGAATAAAATACTGAGTTTTTGTTGATACTAATAGGTTGAAAATAATTTCTAATATTCTTGAATTTATAGGTCAAGTAAAAAAGTAGATGTTAAAGATATATTTAAAACTTCCAGTAATTAAAATAGTTACTTATCAGTACTATAAATTTTATATAGTTATAATTTTGCTATAGAGTTATTCATTTTAAGCTAATTTTTAAGTGTTAATATTATAGTATACTTAAAAACACATTTGAAATTGAACAAGAATGTGCCTTTGTAGACCTTTGAAAATTTGGCAGTGTTCTTTTTTAAGATTTTTATATTTTAAGTAATTTTTGTTATAGTCTTTTTTTCTGGTCATTATGATAAAATACTGAATATAATTATAATATTAGAAAAGTGGTCTTAAGATTTCCTTATGAAGTAATAGCATCTTAAGAAATTTTTAAACAGAATCTTACTAACTTACAGGAAGTTTGAAGTTTATGTGTGCATTCGGAAAACATCTAATTTTTTTTTTTTTGTTGGTGTAGGGGCTGAACTCTGGGCCTGGGCGCTGTCCTTCAGCTCTTCAGCTCAAAGCTAGCGCTCTACCACTTGAGCCACAGTGCCACTTCCGGCTTTTTTGTTTTTGCTTATGTGGTGCTAAAGAATCGAACCCAGGGCCTCATGCATGCAAGGCAAGCACTGAGCCAACTTCCCAGCTTGTCATTTTGTTTTTTAAAGAGACATTAAAAAATTATATACTTGCTAAATTTAAAGTTATAGGAAAGTATAATATACTTCAAAATAATTCATATTTTGAAGAGGTGATATGGATTGAATCATTAAATTTTATTTCAATAGATAAGTCTTATCTATGTGTAGGCATCCTTTATGAACCAATAGATAATGTATAGTTTAATGCTTATCTACAGAAACAATAGTCAGTTTATCTAAAAGTTATTAAAACACAATCTTTCAACTTAGAACCTTAGTACTTTCTACCTCTTCAGCTTTCAGCCCTTATATGCCTAATTTTCTTTTTGGCATTCTTGCACTGAAAACTACCTTTCTAACTTTTCTCTATTTAGGTTAATTGTTCTTTCATGCATTTGCAAGTAATTCTTGTACCTTGAGGACTGGGTGATTTTCTTGCCTTAGGAAGAACAGTATTCAGTCACTCTCCCTTCCCCCATTTCCATGTTAATATAAGCAGCTTACTCTTCCGAGTAGAACTCTTATTACAGGTGGAAGTATTTAATTGAAGAATTATTTATACAAAGGGTGTAATTTTCATAGGAATTTACCAAAGATGATTTTTTTCCTGTTTTTTTTTTTTGGGGGGGGGTGGTAACTGTTATTTTGGCTTCCACTCAGGGCCTCAAATGCTTGCTTGGCGTTTTTCTTCAAGGCTGTCACTCTAGCACTTGAGCCGCATCTCTCTACCTCCTCAACAGAGATCCTTTTGTTCCTTCCCTCAGAATCATAGTTGAGAGAGTGGTCTTCTAATAAGAGTTACACTACCTCCTTAATCTGTCTCTGTGCTATTTGGAAAAACTCTCCAGCTTTACTAACATTTTATGTTTTAAATATGGGAAGGAAAACAACTTTTATAGATATTTTTAAATAAATAGGAGTTTGAAATGAGTCACAAGTCTTCTGTTTTGTCTTACAGTTTGACACATGAACTCTCTAGACATTTTATAAAGATTGTATAGTTTAGAAGAAATTTCATGCCTTTTAGATCTGATACCTAGCAGATGTTTAATGTAAACTTTATAAACTCTTGAATGGTATCTGTGGGCTAAATGATAGAAAGTGTTTGAGGTACCAACTATCTGTTGTGTTATCATGTTGGTTTCTTTTGCCACAGAAATTTTAATTCCTCTTCATGATATTTGTTGTATAGACTTGAAAGATTTCTGTTGCTTTTTTCTGTGAACTTTCCAGAAAGCATCTTATACCTTGCTTTAGTTGTAGTGAACATACAGGGTGCTTTCAATGAAAGGTTGCTATCCTATTTGTACAAGGAAAATTCCTTTACTGTTTTTCTATTTATATTTTACATATGTTCTATTTTTAAAATGAATTATAGCTGTATACTTCTTTCATTACCTTATCTTTTTATCTACTATGATGATCACTTTTCTGGATTTTCATTTGTATTTCCTTTGGTAGTCATTCTCAGAACACAAACAGCTTTTATACACCACTCAGTTTTGGAAAATACTTAAAATAAAGAAATGATCTGTTAATACTTTGACAAATAAAAGTGAACAAAAACTTGGCTATAGAAAAATAACAATTCCTTTATATATTTTTGTATTTCGTGGCCTAGGTTATTTCTGAGATTAATGTAGGAAAAACTCTTAAAACTAAATTATTATTAGAGAAAGAAGTATATTTTGAAATTTTCTTTGAGGCAGTGCCATTATTTGATCTTTCTGGCATGTGAATTCTCGTCTTCTAGGAATGTATAAACTGATAAGTGAAATACTGTTAGGAATATTCTACAGTTCATGAAAATCTTAGGAAGATGAGTGAGAATGAATTAAAAGGATACTAGAGCTTTTTACTTGCTGAGCATAAATGGCAGTAGTGAAGAATGTTAGTATGAAAACTGTTTTAAATTAAGTTGCCTGCCTTGTAATTACTGCAGATATTTAGTAATGCTTGAGAAATGTAGTTCTGCCAAGACTGAAAGTAACGTCATCAGTATGTGTTTACCAATTCTGTCAGTTGATTCTTCAGTATACTTACTTTCCCCCCCTCATTTTTACAATTGATATATGTTTCATGTTCTCCTTACCTGTAGTATTATTATTTATCTATAGGACCCAGGACCACCTCCGCCTTCTCCATTATTAGGTTTGAAGCCACTGCAGTTATTAGAAGTGAAAGCAAGGGGAAGGTTTGGTTGTGTCTGGAAAGCACAGTTACTCAATGAATACGTGGCTGTCAAAATCTTTCCAATACAGGTACATTTATTGGAGTTTTCTAAAAGTTTCAGTGTGTTAACGTGAACTCCAGGAAATGGAGACAAAAGTGTTGTTGTTCTTTTCCTTTGCTTTTTTGTCTCGTTTGTTCATTTTTCTGTCTTTGTGGTGGTAAGAGGTGGCATAAAAATGGAGGGACATAGGGTGAACAAATATAGTAGTGGAACTCAGTACAAACTATGTTGAAAATGAACTCCTCAACTTGTGGGTGAGGACAGGAGGGAAAAACTTGGAGAGAACAAAGGAAAAGGGGGAACATTGTCCAAAAAGAAATGTAAGACATAATTTATGACATGGTAACTCCTGTGTACATTACTTTTATAATAGCAATTTAAAAAAGTTAAATTGTGTGAAGAATCTTAAAACTTAGAAAAAGGCATTTGCATATTAAGCATAGTTAACAGTCACAAACATTTTGGTTAATGCTTCTATTGACAAGGTACAGAAATAACAGTAATGTTACAAATTAAACTGTACAAATACTGGTTTACATAACTAGGAAACTGAATGATTATATAACTTGCCAAAGATTAGAAGGAAAGCCAGAATTTGAACTTTGTGTTCAGAGACTTGCTAATCATTATGCTGTACTGCATCCCATTTTCACTGTTCTATCAGTGAAAAGAAACTAATTGACAAGTTCACATATAGTAGGCAAACACAAGTGAATATATGGTGGTTTTAAAAAAAAATTTTAGATACTATGTTCATCTTTGAAAAAGATTTTTTTCGTTTTTGACAGTCTTTTTATCTGAATTCATTTTTCAGGAATAATTATTGTGAATAATAACCCAAGTCATTTCACTCCTATGATAAAATACAGTGTAATACACCTGCAGTAACTTGTATGCAAAATATGTTGCCACTATACAAAAGGGCAACATTTTTTTTATAATTTTCTATGATCATAAACTAGAAACAAAGAAAAGTGTAGAACTGTCAACAAGACCTAACAAAATCTTCTATACTTAGGTATTTGTTTTATTTTACCTAGAACTTATTTGAGTAATTGATTTACCTATATTCTTAATATTCTTTCTTTTAAAATCTAGGACAAACAGTCATGGCAAAATGAATATGAAGTCTACAGTTTGCCTGGAATGAAGCATGAGAACATATTACAGTTCATTGGTGCAGAAAAACGAGGTACCAGTGTTGATGTGGACCTTTGGCTAATCACAGCATTTCATGAGAAGGTGAAATTTCTTAACACTTACATTTAGTAAATTAGAAGTGATTTACTTACCTAATGTTGACTATAAATCTCTCATGTATTATTTTTTCAAGAGGCTATTATAATTAATAGTTAACATAAAATATAAATTGCTTAAATAAAAATGTTTTAATTCACTTTAATAAAAGTGCTTTTTTCCTTCTAATCATTCAGGTTTTTGTCACTGATATAATTTACCTCTCTTATGAATATTTTTTATACAGTGTTCAGTATTATTTTAATCCATTTTAACTTCATGATTAGTTGTTTCAGATTGAACTTTGTACCTTGAAATGCCTGTTTTTTTTTTGTTTTGTTTTTTTTTTTTACTTTTTTTTGGTGCCAGTTATGGGGCTTGAGCTCAGGGCCTGGTGCTGTCCCTAAGCTTTTTTTGTTTAGGACTAGTGTTTTACCATTTGAGCCACAGCTCGACTTCCTGCTTTTTTGGTAGTTAATTAGAGATAAGAATCTCAGGGACTTTCCTCCCTCATCTGGCTTTGAACTGTGATCTTCAGATCTCAACCTCCTGAGTAGCTAAGATTACAAGTGTGAGCCATCAGTGCCTGGCTTTGAAATGCTTTAATAAGTCTAGGTTAGTGACAATGCCAGAGCTAGAAATTTTATGAGTTCTAAAATTAATTAATAATTGTCAGTAAAACATAGTATTTTTTCAACTTTTAGTTTTTAAAAGTAGTATTTTCAATGAAGTAGGATTGTTCTTTTTTTTCGTGGGGGTTTGAACTCAGTGCTTCATACTTGATAGGCAGATAATCTGTTTGAGTCACATCTCTAAACCACAGAAATTATATTTTTAATACATTTTATAATTGTTAAATGTAAGTGGCTATTGTTTCCCTTAATTTTTGACCATAAGTTTTTAGAGAAGATTCTTTACATTAGTGGTTATTTATATGTTGAAATTTTGTGGTATCCTAGTCTTTATAGTCAGTATATTTCCCTTTTTAAAACAGAATTCTAGATTTATCAACTATTTTTTTTAAGACCTTTGCTTTCCAAATGGGGGAAATTTGGTGATTTTTAATAGTCATTCAAAGGTCAGTGTATTCCTTCCTTTATTAATGTGACTTGGAGAAATTTTTCGACCTATCCAGAGATTGCTTTTAGAATATTATTATTCATTGAAAGTAAAAGCCAGATGCCAATGGCTCACACATATAATCCTAGCTACTCAGGTAGCTGAGATCTGAGCATCACAGTTCAGACCCAACACAGGCAGGAAAGTCCACAAGTCCATTGAACTACTAAAAGAAAAAAAAAAATATCTGGGAATGGAACCATGGCTCATGTGAAGAATGCTAGCCTTGGAACCATGGCTCATGTGAAGAATGCTAGCCTTGACCAAAATGCTTAGGGACAGTGCCTAGGCCCTGAATTCAAGTGCCAGCAACACACACACACACACACACACACACACACACACACACACACACACACACACACACACACACACACACACACACACACACACACACACACACACACACACACACACACACACACACACACACACACACACACACACACACGTGCCAGCAACACACACACACACACACACACACACACACACACACACACACGGTGTGGGGAAACAGAGAGGGAGAGAGCAAGAGAGAGGAGAGGAGAGAGAGAAACCAAGTAAAGATATACTGCTTTTGTAACTTATAGTAAAAAGTCTCCATATACATGTGTTGTTCAAGAGCTTAAGGCTTTTGCTTTGTCCCTTTTTCTCTTTAGGGTTCACTGTCAGACTTTCTTAAGGCTAATGTGGTTTCTTGGAATGAACTATGTCATATTGCAGAAACTATGGCTAGAGGATTGGCATATTTACACGAGGATATTCCAGGCTTGAAAGATGGTCACAAACCTGCAATCTCTCACAGGTAGAGAAAAACTTCCATTTTTTTTCCCCCAGATAGTTCAGTATATGTTCATAATTGGAGTTTTTATCCCCCTGGCTAAAATTTATTTTTCCCCTAATTACCAAATTGTATTCTAGAAGGCAGATTATTTTAATTTTTTTAAGTTAGCTTTGAAATTGGCCAAGAATGAACATAATTAGTAAAGTTAATTATTTCCTTGTGCATAATATGTCTTATTTTGGGAAACATGCTTGAGGATGAAAGTAAATTGTCTCTTTCTAAAAGGAAAAATGTATTTGTTTTAACTCAAATCATGATTTAATTTAAAGGTGATTATGAAAGGTACAGCATATCTATTTTTACAAGTTATTCAATTTCTTAATTATATTAAGGCTGAAAATCTTATTTCTAAATGACCATACATCATTCAGACAATTGTCTAGCAAAGAAATAGTTCCTAGCCCTAACAATTGTCATATTCTGGGAAGGAAAAATGTTTGTTCCTTCAACAGGGATTCAGTTTGCCTTGTAGTTACCTTCTTTGAATTTGGGATTTAATCTATCACCTTGAATTCCATATAAAGGAGGCATTGACTGAGCACAGCAAATATTTATTTAGTTGAGTGGCACCAGATAGTTACTTAGGTTTCTGGCAAATATTACTTAAATTCACCTCAAATGGTTAAATTCTGGTATTACAAACTAAATGGCATCTACTTGGAATTGCTCCCTTTCTTTTCACCTTTCTGTATGCAGTCTGCCTTCCATATAGGGAATTATTCCTTTGGAGCTCCCGGGACCCCACCCATCCACACATTGCACTGCCCTCTAGTTATTAGGAATTGGGGGCCTCTAAAAACCTTATGAAACTTGAAACTGGTTTGTTTTTTTTTTTTGGAGTATTTTTTTCTATTCTTCATCCTCTATCCTAGTCTTGGATGTATATATAGTGTAACCATTGATTATGGTAGAGATATACTTAGCTAGAGTATAGTAAGCTAGAATGAACCAGTTGAGTAAGTGTGTAGAGAATATCTTAGGCTTCAGTATTGTTATACTTTTTAGAACACAAAAAAAGTAGATGGAAGTTTCTGTTTTGCTTTTCTAAAAGCAGGTGAAAGAATATAAGAACCACAATAGTAAGGACCATTCTATAAAGTAAGTCATTATCAATAGGCTTCAATTCAGCTAATTAAACAAAACAAAACAAAAAAACCCCAAAACCTCATTTCATTGTTTTTGTTGTTGTTGTTTTTTTTTGTTTTGTTTTGTTTTGTTTTTGTTTTTTGTTTTGCTGGTCCTATGGCTTGAACTAAGGGCCTGGGCTCTGTTCCTAAGCCTCTCTGTGCTCAAGGCTAGTGCTCTACCACTTGAGCAACAACACCACTTCTGGCTTTTTCTGAATAGTTCATTGGAGATAAGTCTCATGGAATTTCCTGTGCCAGATAGCTTCAAGCTAGGATCCTCAGATCTCAGCCTCTTGAGTAACTAGAATTACAGTTGTAAGCTGCTCATTTTGGTTTTTAAAATTTGTTTTATGGAAATTGGTAACTACAAACACTGAAATATTATCTTAAAACAGCAGTTTTAGAGATGTATGGAAGGTGAAATGGTAGTTCTGAACTGTTTTATACATTCTTTTTTATAGTTTGTGCTATGAATAGAAATTCTTCACTGTATTCTTGTGCTGGGGCAAATAGGCACTCTTTTTAAGCACTCTGTTTCCCTTTCTTTGAATTTTATATTTTTAAAGAACTTCTCTCATAGTATATTCTCCTTCCCACTTCCAAGAAAAAATTTTAAAAATGTAACTTGTTGAAATTGAATTTCAATACTGTCTATCTTTCTATTTGAAGGGACATTAAAAGTAAAAATGTGCTGTTGAAAAACAATCTGACAGCTTGCATTGCTGACTTTGGGTTGGCATTAAAGTTTGAGGCTGGAAAATCTGCAGGTGATACCCACGGACAGGTAAGGGAGAACTGTGATCAAAATAGAAGAAAAAATAAACTTGTTGCATATTTTCTTGTAAAATGGCAAGGACTGATTGTTCCAAAATTTGTGATAGTGATGTAGTCAGCATCTAATTAAGAGTTCTATGCTACCTTTCAGGGGAAAGCAATACTGTAGAGGACTAGATGGTTTAGGCAAAAACTTCATAAAAGAACTCTTGGATGCTATAGGCTTCTTTTAAACAACAACACCAGAAACTGGCCAGTTTTAACTTTTACCATCTGAACAGGAGTGGAAGAATAGTCATTATCTGTACAACATATTAAGATCTCCTTACTTTTATTCCACACATTTTCTCTTATTGCTTTATTTACTCTGCAATAAACTTGATGGCTTTATTCTGGATTGTCTCTAGAATTCAGAGGCCTTACAAATGCCTGTGTGAGGTGTCTTAACTATAGTTAACTATAGTATGAACAAGTAGATCTTAGCAATGATAACCTCTAATAAAGCTAAAAAGGCAAAGGTTATCTTTACATTTCATTCTTAAAACCTGTGAGGCTAGGAAAAGTCATTTAAAAAAAAAAACAAAACCAAGTTTCTCCTCCCCCTTTTGGTGCTAGTCTTGGGGCTTGAATTCGGAGCCTGAGCTGTCCCTGAGCTTTTTTGATCAAAGTCTAGTGCTCTACCACCTGAGGCACAGCTCCACTTCCAGTATTTATTTTGTTTTTATTTGATGATTAATTAGAGATAAGAATCTCATGACTTTATTACCTAAGCTGGCTTCAAACCGTGATCTTCAGATTTCAGCCTCTCTGAGTAGCTGGAATTACAGGAATTGCAGACGTGAGCCATTGATACCCAGTTGATTACTTTTTTTTTTAAATAAAAACATCTGAATATTCATTCATTCATGCCACATTTTAACTCCCTTCTTTTTTCAGTTGGGTCACATTATTAAGTAAAAATTGCATGGAGAACATTTTAGATGGAAAGTAATAAACCATAATATAATGAAAGACATACTTTGGATTATATAAATTTGTTTTTAAGAGAAAAGTAGGCTGCTGGTGGGCCCTGGTGGCTCATGCCTATAATCTCAGCTACCCAGGAGGCTGAGCTATGAGGATCATGGTTCAAAGGCAGCCCAGGCAGGCAAGTATGAGGGAAAAAAAAAAAGCTGTGGCTCAAGTGGGAGGATGCCAGCCTTGAACAAAAAAGCTTAGGGATACACCCAGGTCCTGAATTCAAGCCCTAGTACTAGCACCCTCCGGGGATGGGGAGGTGGGGAGAGGGTTTTTTTTTTTTGAGAATCACTTATAATACAGTTAAATAGGAGGAAAAATAAAAGGTATTTTTTTCTTCTGTAAAGTATTCTTATTAAATGAGTTAAAACTTGAACTTCAGAGATTTACTGATTTCTGAAGTCCTAATATTTTTTAACATGTTATGTTTGTATGTAACTGCCTAACTTCTAGAGCTTATAATCATCCAAGGATGGAGTTTTTGAAAATACCAGTGTCTATGTTACTCTGTAGGTCTACTATTGCTCAAATACATTGTGGTCTACCTACCAAAGTATCTTTTTTTTTTTTGCCAGTCCTGGGGCTTGAACTCAGGCCTGGGCACTGCCCCTGAGCTTCTTTTGCTCAAGGCTAGCACTCTACCACTTGAGCCACAGCGCCACTTCTGGCTTTTTGTGTTTATGTGGTACTGAGGAAATGAACTCAGAGCTTCATACATACTAGGCAAGCACTCTACCACTAAGCCACATTCCCAGTCCCTGACTGTCTTTTAAGTATTCATATAAGAATGTCAAGCTCCAAACAAAACTAGTTTGTACTAGCTCAGTAACCATAGTTACAGTACTAAGAAATACTAAATTATGAAGATAGATATAAAGGAATCCAAAACAGAAGAATTCATGAATACATAAATTCATAAATTTTTACACAAATAGACTTTTTGTTTATCTATTCTTTGCTAATTCTTTTACAATACCATCGGAAGATTTTTTTTTATAGAAATACACATTTCAGCAAGTGGTGATGGCTCATGCCTGTAATTCTAGCTACTTAGGAGGCTGAGATTAGAAGATTGTGAGTCAAAGCCAGCCTGGGCAGAAAAGTCTGTGAAAATATTTTCTCCATTTAATCACCATGGGTCAAGTGGTAGAGCAGTGGCCTTGAGCAAAAATGCTAAGGGCTAGCCTTAACCTTCAATTCAAGCCCCAGTGCTGACACCAACTAACTAACTAACTAACGAAATAGTATGTTGTTTTCTCTGTTGTTTCTTCCTTGCAAGCAATCATTTTTAAGTTTCTTGCAGTATATCCAGAAAGAGGAGAAAAACTGTCCAGTTGCTAGTAGCCCACACCTGAAATCCTAGCTCAGGATCCTAGAGGTCAGGAGGCTGAGATCTAAGGATCACAGTTTGTAGCCAGCCCAGGCAGGGTTTACAGACTCTTATCTACAATTAATCACCCAAGGGGGATAAATATTGGAAATGGAGCTGTGGCTCAAGTGGTAGTGTGCTGTACTTGAATACAAAAGAGGTAGCTCAACACAAGATCTGGGCACTGTCCCTGAGCTTCTTTTGCTCAAGGCTAGCACTCTCCACTTGAGCCACAGCTCCTGTTCTGGCTTTTTTTTTTTTTTTTTTTGAGTGGTTTTTGGAGATGAACACATTTCATGGACCTTCCTGCCCTAATTGGCTTTGAACTGTGATCCTCAGATCTCAGCCTCCTCAGAAGTTAGGATTGCAAGCATTAACCACTAGCGCCCAGCGATATGTAAATTTTTAAGTATATCCAGAAATATGTATATACACACCCTATAAACTCGGGCTCACAGTTCATCATGATTTGATTAGACCACAGTTTTGTTTTTATGAAATTATAAAGTTTTAGTTCATCAAATTAATAAATGAGTACTGTTTGCTTTTTCAAAATCTTTTTTTCAGGTTGGTACCCGGAGATATATGGCTCCAGAGGTATTAGAGGGTGCTATAAACTTCCAAAGGGATGCATTTTTGAGGATAGATATGTACGCCATGGGATTAGTTCTGTGGGAACTGGCTTCTCGCTGTACTGCTGCAGATGGTAAGGGAAAAAGTATTTTTTAGAATACATATGCCACATTTATGAAAAGGGATGATTACTTAGATGGTAATAAAGTACAATTTCTTTTTAATGGACTATTAAGAGATTTTAGAAAATTCACAAGATAGAGGAGCATAAAGGAAAGGAACTAGAAATATGTTGATAATTTACCATTAGATGGTTTATTGGACACTATATATTCCTTCAGCTTATTTTCTGGAGATATTTTGGAGGTATTTGTTTTATAGATGAACAAACTGAAACTCAAGAGAAATTAAGTAGCTTATCTCAACATTTTGTCCCTATGATCCGTGTGGAGGGAAAGGACTACTGCTTCACTAGGATTTTCCTGCAACCTAGATTCCCAAGTCATCTCTTTTGGTGAGAGATGTCTGTAGAGAAGGAGGGATTTTGATTCTCAGAACATTCTGGCACTTGCCAGCATAAGTACTTTATAACCAGGTTAAACTTCATCTTGTCCCCTAAGACACAGAACTGTGAACGTGTTTTTGGATATATCACAGGTTAAATTCTGCTCTTTAAAGTCTGACTGTATTATGATTAAGTTGTTAAAGTATGTTATTATTGAAGTTCTTGTCCAAATCATGTAAATAATTGAATGACTGTGTAACTATATGCCAAATTCCCAGTGCGACAAAACTATAGTTGTCTAGGTACTCTGTCTTTAGAACTTCTTTAAAATGTTTGTTTTATTCAAATAAATCCTGACTACTAAATTCTCACACAAATATAAATGATCTTTACATGTTTTTCTATTATAATTCATAATAGCCTAAAAGCTTCCTCCAATTATAGACTGTAAGAGAATATATTTAATATTTTAAAAAGTATATGGATTTAAACTATGCTGCTAAGAATCTTACTTTTTTTTGAGTACTGTAAAAGATTCCCTATAGGACAGATTACCTCTGTAATATGCAATTTAATTTTAAGCTCAATTTAATTGAAATGGAATTTAGTAAATGTTCAGAAATAGGCAGCCATTCATTCTTCCAGGTTGGAAGCCTAAGAATTGTTGAAACAGCCTGGGAATTTTTTAAGTCTTGAGGAAGATGAGTAACCTGTTCAATGCATATTAACTTTAAAAGTAAAGAAGTTTTAAATTTATTTTGTGCATTTATTGAAACAGTAGGTCAGATGGTGAACGTGAATTATCTGGCTCAATGCCTGGTACTTAGTAACTGTTTCTGGTATTAGTAACTGTTTCTGGATAAATAAATGGAAAGGAGTGTTAGAGAAGTCTAGAGATTGCTTCGTTGGGAAAGGAATTACTTGGGAAATTGGAAAAAGGAATAGATGCAGACTTTTTTTTTTTCTTTTTTGGGTCCAGTCGTGGACCCTGAACTCTGGGCCTGGGCACTGTCCCTCAGCTCTTCAGCTCAAGGCTAGCGCTCTACCACTTGAGCCACAGCACCGCTTCCGGCTTTTTTTTTTGCTTATGTGGTGCTGAGGAATCGAACCCAGGGCCTTGAGCATGCAAGGCAAGCGCTCTACCACTGAGCCACCTTCCCAGATGCAGACTTTTCTTAAATGCCTGGTATATGCTATGTAGAAATTGGGGCCAACGGGTCAATGTAGACAATACTGTTAAAGTGAGAACTCTTGAATTTGTTTATGTCTAATTGCTGATGGTTAAATTCAGTGATTCTTGAAGTTGAATGTTTCATCATACTCTTGGGAATCCTAGTTACAACTCCAATTCTGACTTAGTGATCTGGGTTGAGGCCCAAGAGACTGTCTTTTTACAGACTACCAGTTGGCATCAATGCCATTGACTTGTGAAATAGTTTGAGTAGATATTTTAGAATGTTAGTACTCTGAGCAAACTGCCCAGCTATCAAGGATTTCCACATTTGTATAGAGTGAGTTAATGAGTCTTCCGGATTCATTATATTCTACCCAGAAGTGTTTGGTGCAGAAAGTTCAAGATCTTACACAAGACTATACACAGAGCTCAATAAAATTTCTCAGGACTTTCTTTCAAAGGGAGAAAATATAGTAAATAAAAACATGGACTTTAGAGTGAGAGATAAGGGCTCAAATTTTATGTCTACTATGTAACGGCTGTGTGCCCTTGTGCACAATTTTGTAATTTCATGAGCTTATTTTCAAAATGGAGGCAGTACCACCTTTATGAAGATAAATGATAATATGTAAAGTTCCTGAGACTTAAGTACTTACTAAATGCTAATTTCTTAAAGGTATTTCCCCATATTTCCTGAGGTGTGAGTAAAATAGAATTATTTATGTTTTTGAATAAATGTTGTGAGGACACATTCTTACTTGATGGGAAATCTTTCAGCACTTATTAGGGAGGATGGAGAAGAGGTATGACTAATTCTTTGAAGGGAGCAGGTTTGGAGTTTCAGTGTGTTATAGAATAAAGATGGTTTTAACAGGTTGAAACCCAAGTCTTCAAGATGGAAACACAGCTGTTAACATTCTGCTTTGGATTGCAAGGACTAGGTTCCTTAAAGAAGGATATGATTTGCAAGTATGTTCTCTGTCTTGTACACCGATGAATACTTTGATGAATATAGACTTTCTTGAAATAGGTAAAAAAGTATTTTTTACCGAGGTTTGGTGTTATAAACCTGTAATTTCAAAAGGAAGGCTAGGCAAGAGGATGGAGAGTTAAAGGGCCAGCTGGGGTTATAGAGCGAGACCCCGTCCAAAACAAGTAAACCTAAATAATGTTTAATAGAGCTACCTGCCAAATCATGGACTTTTTATTATAAATTTTATGAGTTTGGATACAGTGGTATAAGTACAATTGAGTCTTATTTCTCTCCTATCCTTATAGCATGTAGAGTTGGAAAAAGGTGATAGAAGATATATTTTAGAAAGCTTGTACCAGTTGGAAGATTTTAATTAAAAATGAATGTTTTTGTGTTTTACATTTCAGGACCTGTAGATGAGTACATGTTGCCATTTGAGGAGGAAATTGGCCAGCATCCATCACTTGAAGACATGCAGGAAGTTGTTGTGCATAAAAAAAAGAGGCCTGTTTTAAGAGATTATTGGCAGAAACATGCTGTAAGTCATGTAGTTAACTTTTCATTTGAAATTCCAATAAAATATCTTTCAGAGAATGATTTATTCTATGCACATTTTTATTCTAAGAGGAAGGTACTCTTCACACCATATATTCTGTGCTAAAGTTTTAAAGAGAGCAGCCTTAGGGCTTTGTCTATATACTCACTAGGGAGATTGTGAAGTTATGGGGCCTTATACAGCTCTTAAATCTACCTCAATGGTTTAGTGCAAATGAGTCTATTTGGATATCTTCCTAGAAAAATGACTGCCTGGCTCCCGAATCTGTAGACAGCTAGGTAGGCTTCTAGCATGATACTATTTTATTAAACACCACATTTTCCCCTCTTCATGGGAGCTTGCTTTTAATATTTTGTTTTAGCTTAGAAGACTATGGAGTTCTTTAGAATACTTTAGGCAGAAAATTGTGTAGTATACTATTACTGTTTTGGTCTAAATATAACAAGAAAATGAGTAAAGCTAGGTAGAGAATTTTCAAGGATGGCCCTTCCAAATCTTGTATATTACTGTAAGATAAAAATCCTAATATTAACTAAGAAAATAATAAATATTTTGATATCACCCCCACTAGCTTTGGTTTTGAATCCATAAAAATAATACTGGAATAGTCTTTATAAATAATGTGGATAGGCATTTTTGGAAATAAATTACTATTATGAAGAAAGTTAAAATAGGTTCTGTTGTAGAGGAGGGTGAGTGAGGATGAATATGGTCAAAATAATTTATTTATTTATATATGTGAAAAAGTAACAATGAAACCTGAATTCCTTTATAAAGGTTAAAGGGAACATGATAGAAGGGGAAGAGTTTGATCAGGATACATTTGTATGTATGTATGGAAATGTCACAATTAAATCTTACATAGTACAACTAAATAGTTTCTGTGCTTCATGATATTGATAATCAATAAAAGTCAATGTGGTAAAATGATGTCAAATTTTGATAATCTGGAAACTTCTTTGGCCCACAAAAGTAGCAATTTTTTTAATGAATTTTTTTTACTCTTTCATCATAGGAAACCAAAATTACTGTCATTTGACTATGTTTTTCTCTTCTTAGGGAATGGCAATGCTTTGTGAAACAATAGAAGAATGTTGGGATCACGATGCAGAAGCCAGGTTATCAGCTGGATGTGTAGGTGAAAGAATTACCCAGATGCAAAGACTAACAAATATCATTACCACAGAGGACATTGTAACAGTAGTCACAATGGTGACAAACGTTGACTTTCCTCCCAAAGAATCTAGTCTATGATGGTTGCACCATCCATACACACTGACAAGTGGGACTGTGAACTGGAGCTGCTAAGCTAACAAAACTGCTTACAGTTTATTTTCTGTGTGAAACAAGTAGGATGCCTCCTGGAAACTTAAGCCAAGCAGCCCTTTGTTGAAAAAGGCTCTGGGAGACTCACTGCATTGCTTGCAGCACAGATGTGAAGGACATGAGATTAAAAGTTGTAAACTCTATAAAGAAACTTTTGAAAAAAATGTACATGAAGAATGTGCCCTCTCCAAATCAAGGATCTTTTGGACCTGGCTAATCAAGTGTTTGAAAACTGACATCAGATTTCTTGTCTGTCAGAAGAAGACACTAATTCCTTAAATGAACTACTGCTATTTTTTTTAAATCAAGAACTTTTCATTTCAGATTTTAAAAAAGGGTAACTTGTTTTTATTGCATTTGCTGTTGTTGTTTCTATAAATGACTATTGTAATGCCAATATGACACAGCTTGTGAATGTTTAGTGTGCTGCTGTTCTGTGTACATAAACAAAGTCATCAAAGTGGGGTACATAAAGAGGCTTCCAAGCATTACTTTTAACCTCCCTTTCAACAAGGTATACCTCAGTTCCACGGTTGCTAAATTATAAAATTGAAAACACTAACAAAATTTGAATAAATTGATCCATGTTTTATAACAAGCTATTACAAATTCACTGTGTTATTTAAGAAAAAAAAAGGTAAGCTATGCTTTGTGCCAATAGTAAGTGGCCATTTGTAAAGCAGTGTTTTAGCTTTTCTTGTGCTGGCTTTAGGAGAAAAAAAGTGCTGTATTTTGAAATGGAAAAACAAAAAGGTGAAATTTCCTCTTTCTTCCCATATGTTAAAGCTTCATCTTATATTCAGTTCAAGGTCCCAAAATATTGCATACTTACCTAAGTGGTTTAAAAAAAATTTTTTTTTAAAGGTGTGCTGTGTTTGGGGAATATTTGAAAATTTAAAGCATGTTTAAAAGTTTTTTTAAAGTGAGCTGTGACACTGGAAAGCTCTTCATTTTACCTTTTAAGATACTTTTTTCCCCCTATTTATATATGTGAAATTGTACTGTTTTTATTTTCATTAAACAGTGTGTGGGACATTATCACTGTTTTAGGAACACCTCAGGAAGTGTCATTACCCAGAATCTCTCATTCTGCTTTGAGATTTGTAACTTTATCATTATACTTCTGCTTGGTGCCATCTTGTCGGAGTAATATTTGATGTCTGTGATACGTAAGGAATTATGATAAAGATATTAACCTTTAAGCACAGATTTCAGATGTTACTGCTTTAAAATAAATCAGGGATAACAAGTTGAACTTATGACTTAAAATATGCAATGACATTTAGAGGTAATCGGTGTTGATATAGGTAACATAGCCTAGCATTCTCCCCAAAATTACTTTCACAACTAATTCTGACATTAAGTTAGGATAGTTCATGCCTTATCCTTGCTAAGAAATGGAATTGATGGTAGGCAGGTGCCAAAACAGATTTTTAAAACTATTATGATTGGGTTCTTCCTCAAATTTACACAGGTCCTAGAAAAAAACATTAATTTCCTCAATATCTGGAATAATCAACAAGTCAGTATTATGCTATGTACTTTTTTGTCATATCAATATAAAATTCATACATTAATTTTCATAAATTTTTTACATGTCACTATTATGAGCTCACTGTGAATGTGTTGTCTTCAAATGGTTAAAAACCAGTACACTACCATTTTACATATTACATGCACTTAAATCTCTGGGAAGAAAAATGACATTATTTATAAACAACATGTAAGTCAGCAGACTCTAAGCAGGGAGGGAAAGGAGAATATATTTATCTGTGTGCCACACACTATTCAAAAGCATTTGTTCTTCGTGTATGTACCCAAGGTCTCATTATATTAAGATTTTCCATTACAATGTTTACTACTTTTAGTTCAGAAAGTACTTGGCCTCTCAATTTCTTGATAAGGGTTTGCTTCCATTTAGAAACTAATCGAGGGAAAAAAATATAATGTGCATATAAAGAAATTAGTAACAGTATAAAGATAAATTTCTGTCCATTGTAAAACCCTTTTTTAAAAAGATAAGGAATATCATAATGAATGTTTGGCTTAGAGTACTACAGATAAATTTTATTAAATCAGTTATTTACAATATACAATGTTTTGTCTTCGTGATAGAGGAAGTTTTTAGAAATCTTGGGTATTGTACTTAATTCTAATTTTAAAACTTGTATCTTTTTGAGAACTGCATTAGTGGAAAAACTTTTATAATCAGTAAAATAAGAATGTTCCAGTGACTACTTGTCCTTATACTTAGTCTTGTTAAAACTTTATTTTGCAGGGCATTTTAGTGTTTGGTTTACAGTCAGTGCAGAGTGGGCAAGATAACAAAAAATTTATGCTAAGGATACTGGAAAAAAGAAAATGAGAAAAAAAAAACCCCGGTTATTTCTTTGGGGACAAAATGAAACACCCCAATAACTTTTCCTCGTGTATGGTGCTCCTCATGACTTGTCTTATACTTTGCCTTTCTGATACTGCTGCTCTAACTCATAGTTTTTACTTTGCCCAATCTCCCGTGTAAGAAATATTTTAAGGTCAGCTGCCATAGGATTGATGGTTAACCAGTGTTTGGCTTTATTTGAAGTCTATGCCCTGAACAGATCTTGTATGTATTATATGCTAGGAAGTTTTTAGCATGTGATCTGTGATTCTTGTTTGAATGTTTATTACAGGTACCTTGTGAATTCCAGAACAGAGACTGTGCCTCACAATGATTGGTCCCATGAATTTCCACTCTTTCATGGTGGTTTTGAAAATATAATCAGGAAAAAAAAAATCCATCACCTTGGGAATTTAAAGATGGACTCATATGCCATGCAAAAAAAAAGAAAAAGAAAAAAAAATCTCTCTCACCCCTAAGTAACATCCCCATTAAGTAAAATGTTGGGGAAAAAAAACCACTGGCCAAATGGTAATTTAGTGGAAAAGGTGATTTTTCTTTTAAAGCTTTTTATCATAGGTCTTCTTTACTTTAAAAGAAGTACATTTTTGGAGCATTTGGTATAATGTGCACAAAATCATTTAAAATTTATGGGCAAAATGATACAAGTAGCATCTTGATTGACCATTATTTACCTCAGATATTCAACCAGCAGTGCGTTTTTTATGCAGTCTCAACCCATATCCTATTTGTTACCTCTCAAAATTTAGGCAAGCAATTATTTTAGCTTTACTCTGTATTTCTTGTCAGTGTTTGGGCACAGATTGTTGTACTACTGTCAAATTGTACTTGCTATTTTTTTCCTGCAAGTATTTAACAGAAAGCTTAAAAAATTAAAAAAAAAAATTTTTTTCCCCAAACCCCACCTTGGAAAAGTGATTGTTAAATATTGTACAAATAAAATGTATGCTATCCCCATTCTATCCCCAAGTTAAATAAAAAACAATGAAAGATATGATTTGCATATGCAGTTTTTCTTTAGCTATGTTCTTTAAGAGAGGAATATGAGTTATAATTTATAGTGAAGCTTCTGCTTTGAGATTTACAAAAATTGGGGATATTGGTGAAAACCTGGGCTGTTCATTATTTCAATCCTTTGTTGTCTAGCAGATTTTATTCCCACCTATGTTGGTCTTGGCTACTATTAGAAATTGGGAAGATTATTGGCATATAGTGCATGCCAATGGATTCTTTTTCAGGATAAAGGTGAACAAAAGTTTTTTTTAAAGAACATGCACTGCCTTATAAACAAGTGAAAAAGCAAAACTGAGCAGAATGTACATGAATTCTACAGAAAATCATTTTCCGAAGCATGTTCTTCAAAGCTTCTTAAAGAAGCTAATAGATTCCCTGTTTCAAAAATAGGAATAACTATGATACAGTAAGTTTGGTCAACACATTTTAATTTCTTAGAGCCATGTGCATGCATGTGAACAAGAGGCCTTTAAGCAAATTTGTGTGGGTGCGCTACATGAGGAAACATCAGTTAACACTGCATTGAAATATAAGCATAACATTTTCACCTGTATGACCTTTGCTAACTTTTTTTTTTTTCAGATTTGCTTTATCTTGCTGTCTACCTCCATCATTGAAAATGAAAACTCACCTTGCCTCTTAGTTTTTCATACTTGTTTGGTGATGTTCTTCTCAGCTCGTAAGTATCTTAACCTAGTAATAATTTGTAATATTTATATCATTTTATTAGGCCCTTCCACTGAAGACAGATGGTACTTCCTTAACATTAGTTCTTAAAGGAAAGTTACACCTTGAGTATAAAATTGATTTCAGACATGATAGCAATATCACCATATTAAGTGGCTTAATAACTGCTAAAATGAATGTGTGGACTATGGCATAGAACCAGAATAAAAGCTCTCCCCTTAAAACACATTGCTGAACAATAAATGATCTCAGACTTTGAGGGCTGAACATTTTTGTGGGAAAGACTACGCAAAGAATAGTTACAGAAATGCTACATGTCCATAAATTTTATATACTAGTCCATATCCAAAAATTTTTAAAAGTCAAAATTGTTCCTTGGAGCAATACTTGGGGCCTTGAACTTAGGCCTGCTCCCATGCTGTAGAGCTTCACTTTTACTTTATTTTTACTTAAATAAACATATGCTTTTCTCATTAAGTAATTTTTTTAAGAACTTTGGTAAGTTTTTAATAGCAGGGGCTTTTCTGTCAGTCAAACCTGAGTTGAGTTCCTGGATCTGTCAGTTCCTCCCAACCTAGGACACTGCCATTATTGTGGTGGTTTCCTAATCTTTAACAGCACCTAAACTCCATAGGACTAATGACCATTAAATTGACTATAAATTACAAAAGGATAGGGACAACATACATAATGAAATGTTCGAACTAATGAAGTCACTATCACTAGTACTTACTGAGAACTTACTAAGTTTCATTTGAACCTGCGTTAGTTCATTGCTTCCTACTTCTTTCATAGGAAATTACTTTTTGAAACATTCAGCTACCACTACCAACCAACTGCCATTATTTGTGGGAATTGTTTTCCTACTATCACTAAGATAAATGTTAAAAATTCTACAGTAGTCTCTAGAATCTACTAAATAACAATTCTACAGAGGATTCTAAGGTAGACTGGCACATTTTGAGAAATCTAGAAGAGGTTTACAATCCTTATTTTTTCATGTTATTATCTTCTGGCTAAGCTGATCAGACTTACATCTGGATAGAATCCAAAATTTTCATATGTATTGGGAAACAGGCAACAGCAACACACAGTATCCTTACTGAAATCAAAAGATTACTTATTACCCTTCAAATTTCACCATTTATATACTGCTTACTTAAATGTAAAAAAGAAGTATGTATTTGTCAAATAAAGCATGTAATCCAGTTCCTAAAACAGTCATATTTTATTCATTTGAACTGCTACAGAGAGCACAATCTAAACCAACCACTGGAATTACAAATCACATAACTGTTCATGTTTTAAGGAATGGCCAACATGTACAGCAATTTCCCATAAATACAAATTGTTTATAAATATAAAGGAATGTATTAACATATCTTGTTAAAGGTTAATAACTTAAAGCTCTTCAGCAAAGAATGCCCGAAATGCCAAAATTGAAATCACTGGTTATGTTTATAGCCAGCTTAGTGAAGAAGTTGCCCACTGCCTGACATCTGTAGGACAGTTGGGGTATTTCTGTAGCGCATTCATAATTTGAGTATTATCCAAAAGTAGTTTCATCAGCTGGTACTCTCTCTGTGAATTTACTGAAGTTCTTTCCATGGGCTTTATTAATTCTAATTGCTGTAAGTGTTCAAAAGCCTGCAAGATTGAAGAAAAAGTTTAGGCTGAATAGGAGAAAACCCACCAGAAAATAGGATCTTGGTTAACTGTACAGCAGACTGCCAGAGAAGACATATAAAGTACATTTTAAAAAATGTGACTGAAATCAACACAATTATGAAACAACTTGCAGTGTTACAACACCTGCCTAGTATGTACAAGGCAAGGGTTCCCTGGAACTACAAAAAAAAAAAAATTCAAAACCAAAAAACCTCCCCACCACCAACTCTCCCATCCCCCTCCAGCTCGGCCCACCCACAACTCTCATGAACCGATAAATTTATTGTCAGCTAAGTGTCAATGCAGTTACCTGTGCCTGTACTGTTGAGTGGAAAGACGGCAAGTACTAAATTTTCATAATATAGGTTCATTTCTGACCTCATTTTATATCATGGTTCCTGCTACATTTTTTTGCTTTTGAACCTGAAGACTAAATGGGTCCTGTGCATACTAAGGACCAACTCTACCACTAAACTACAATCTTAATCCTTCCTAGAGCACTAAAGCAGTTTGTGTGTTAAGTATGTATGTGTGTGTGCACCAGTAATGGGGCTTGAAGTCAGGGCCTTCTGCTTTTTTTTTCTCCTCTCTCACTTTGCTTTTTTATTCCAAGACTAGTGCTCTACCACTTAAGCCACAGCTCCACTTCGAGCTTTTTTTGTTGGTTAATGGGACGTAAGAGTCTCTTGGATTAGTCTGTCTATGCTGGCTTCCATCCTCCCTCAAACCTCAGATCTCAGCCTCTTGAGCTGCTAGGATTTTAAGTGTGATCCACCAGCAGCAGCCAGGCTAAAACAGCATTTTTATTAACATAGTTCTCTAAAATCTAAGAATCTGGGAGTGTAGCTGTGGTTCAAAGTGGTAAAACACTAGCCTTGAGCAAAAGAGCTCAGGGGCAGCATCCAGGCCTTGAGTTCAAGCCCCTTAACAGACCAAAAAAACCACTAAGAATCTGCTGAGATTTTCTGATTAGCTAGGCTACTGAAATCTACATTTGAATTGTTTCTACTTTTAAGGTTTTGCTGTCTAAAGTTTAACACAGCTGTAACAAAAAGTGAGACAGAAAAGTTCCCAAATAACCTTTATAGTGGAAGTGATAAGGGCTATGAGAGTAAGTAAGTTCTTAAAAAGAAGGTTGTGACCAACACTGTCACAGTTTACCAGCAAGTCTGTTTATCATACACACTTGTAACACAGGCCTTTATGGTTTGCTTCTTCCTACCTCTATTCTTAGGATATTATTGTCTTTAATATTGTTGTAGGTATGTTACTAAGGTATAACAAAAAATTACAACACACTAATTTATATTCCTAAACTAGATTCTTGAACATTGTATTCTTACAGCAAATTGTGAAATTCTATAGGAATATATTCAATATGCAATATGAAAATACTGATACAAACAGACAGGCTAAGCTCAATACCACTGACTAATGCAATTAAGAAAATATTGGATGTTGGGCTGGGAAGGTGGCTCAGTGGTAGAGCGCTTGCCTTGCATGCATGAGGCCCTGGGTTCGATTCCTCAGCACCACATAAGCAAAAAGAAAAAAGCCAGAAGTGGCGCTGTGGCTCAAGTGGTAGAGCGCTAGCCTTGAGCTGAAGAGCTGAGGGACAGCACCCAGGCCCAGAGTTCGGGCCCCACTACCGGACCTCCCCCCCAAAAAACAACAACAAAAAAAGAAAATATTGGATGTTGCAGGTACTGAGGTATTTCTAGGTAAAAAGTACACCCTTATTTAAAATATACAAGTGATTAGCTGGAAATTACACACAAGAATTGAAATGCTAGGCATCCTATCCACTTCCATGACATCGACAATTCATGACAGTACCAGACAGGAAAATACAACCTCCAGTAGGGTAAAGGCTTTCCATGTTGCTCTGAAGCAACAGCACTGTTCTATATTTAATTAAAAATAGCTTAAGAAATAAAACTATAGCTGGAAGGGCCTAATAGGAACACCAAAAGTATTACAAGTCTTCTGATTAAAACAAAAGATGAGCTAGGTGGGAGTTACAACATATATCTGTAATCTTAGCTACTTGGGAGGCTGAAATAAGGAGGGTCATGGTTTGAGGCAAGCCTGTGCAAAATGTTTGGAAGGGCTCCTTCATGGCTAGATGCAGTGGTGCGTGCTCGTCATTCTAGATTTGTGCGAAGCACAAACAGGAAAGCTGAAGTCCAGTCATGTGGTTTGCCATGAAGTTAGATTCTATCTAATATAACCACTCTGGAAAACAGTTTGGAGGTTCCTCAGAAAACTAAACATAGACATACCCTACGACCCAGCCATACCATTCCTAGGTATTTACCCTGAGTAATAAGAACTAGGATATGACAAGGACACATGCGTTTCCATGTTCATTGCTGCACTGTTCACAATAGTCAAGATAAGGAAACAATCCAGATGCCCCACTACTACAGATGAATGGATCCAAAAATTGTGGCACTTACATACAATGGAATTCTATACAGCCATTAGAAGGGACAAAATAATGGCATTCACAGAGAAATGATGGAACTAGAACAAATCACGTTGAGCAAGATAAGCCAAGATCAGAAAGACAAATGTCACATGGTCTCCCTGATTATTTGGATGTTAGATTCAAAACGCAACAAGATGCAACAAACTAAACAGGGGTCAAGATACCTATATTCAATAAAACCAAAAGAAGTCAGTCTTGGAAGAAATTGTAATATCCAAGCACCTCTTCATATGTGCATAAAAGAAAAGAAACCACAAGACTAGGAAATAAAGGATTTCATATTAATTTGTCTTTTTTTGGGTGGGGGGTTTGGGGGGGTTGAACTCTGGGCCTGGGCAGTGTCCCTGAGCTCTTCAGCTCAAGGTGAGCACTCTACAACTTGAACCACAGCACCACTTCCAGTTTTCTGGTTGTTAATTGGAGATAAGAGTCTCACAGACTTTCCTGTCCGGGCTGGCTTTGAACCTTAACTCTCAGATCTCAGCCTCCTGAGTAGCTAGGATTATAGATGTGAGCCACCAGAGCCTGGCTTGTCTTATTTTTAGATGACTCCATATTCTTTATCTCATATTTGAGTTATACACATGCACATTTGATGTTGGGAGGAGCAATCAGTGGAAAGAGAGTGGAAAAAAAACACAGCAGAGGGGCCCATCAACTGTACTGGACATTGATAAAAATGAACTAAGCAACTCAATGGTGGTGACAGGAGGGAGGGAATAAGAGAGGGAATGAGAGAGAATGAAGGAACAATTGATACTAAGCAAAAGTAAATAAAAGTACCTAACACCTAATTTGAAAGAACTAGCCTTATAAAGTTTGTACAGTTCATAAACTCTGTGGATTAAGATGATGATTATAACTATGAAGGTTAAAATGTGTTTATGACCTAAGTATAACCATGCCACAGTACTGTGAAACATATATAGTTGCTTAAGCTCAATAAAGAAATATTTGGAGAAAACAAACTGGCTCCCCCCCTCCCGCCAAAAAAAAAAACAACAAAACAAAACTACATTACAAAAGGGCTAGGGTTATGGCTCAGTTGTAGAGCACCTAACTAGCAAGTACAGGACTTAAGAGTTCAAACTCTACCCAGTGCTACCAAAAAAATAAAGTATCACTGAGAATGTACTGTCCATAGTGGGCAATCAAATATTCCAAATGCATAATTTTAACATTCCAAATGCGTGACATTTTTAATTTTATATAATTTTAACTGAATTTTAATTCAATGTTTAGACATCTAATTTTCTAGTTCAACTATAAAACTATGGAATAATTTCAAAATGTGGTATTTACCTTTTTAGCTATAAGTTTAATGACTAGAAAATAACAACTTCTAAAAAGTATTTAGTAAGTGGAATAAGTCATGCTTACTACTTGTCAACACATACCAAATTTATTTTTAATTTTTAAATTATTTTAAAGTAGTTGTACAAAGGAGGTGTCATTATTAGCAAAGCAGTTTATGAATGCAATGTATATCAATCAGGGTCACTCTGACATTCTCTTTCTGACTTTCCTTAATTTTGTGATACACAGATAATGAAGTCTTGACTACATCCTCCCTAGCTATTTCCTCTCCATTCATCTATCACTATCCCTTTGTCCCCATGCACCCTTGCATGTACCCATTTCTTGGTGATGATTTTGTTAGGCTTTGACCTCCTTCTTTCTAAAAAATTATAGTATTTCAGTTCTCTAGAGTCTAATGCATTTCAGTTAATTCATTTGTAAATATCTGCATACAATATAATGCATTTACATACAGATTTATAGATACATTCTATTTACCACAAATGAGGGAAACTATGCAACCTTTAATTCTCTGGGGCTGGCTTATTTCTCTTAAAATAATTTTTCCAAGTATTCCCATTTCCTTATGGATGGTAAAATATTATTCTTCTAATACCAAATTGAAAAGATACAAAGAAAATATGAAAATACTTCCAACAATTTTCTACTTTAGATTAGATTTTGTAGTTTTGATATATTCAGCTAAAGTTATCGTTAGTGATTTCACCTTTTAAAATTTCCTATGATTATTTTAAAATTAAAACTGCACAATATGGTTCACATTATTCCCCTAATAGGCAAAGTTTACCTAAGACAAGGCTCTCATATTTTAAATGCATGCCTCCAATAAATAACATTTTTCCCTAGGGTCTAATCAGCTAATGAGATTTAGTCCACAAGTTTCTTACTGATTCTCTACATTTTTATCTCCTTTCACTGCTAGATTGTAAAGTCAACTCTTGATTGGAAAGGGATAAGGAATATTCCATGTGTTTGATAGTGTACACCAATAATTCATTTGCAGGATACAAGTGCTAACAACAGACAGCAGAGGGCAGTATAGCACCACAAACTGTAAAACTGCCTTGAGAAATAATCATATCCTTTCACTTTTAGATCATTTTTGTCTGGAAAAATTCCTATGGTAAATGCCTTGTGAAAAACTTACAAAGTGCAACCTTTATTCTTCAATTGGACTTGAAAATATGCTTTTCTGAAGAAAAAAAAAACAACAGAACAAAGCCTAAATCTTACCTTCATTACAACAGGTTTCTCAAAATTATAAACAGAATGGGCCTTTCTTTGAACAAATTTCTGAAATTCTGGAGAATAAGCAGTGACAACATTAGTACACTGAAGCAAGAAGCAAGTAAAAGTCAGAAATTAGTAAATTATGATCTTACCATTATAGACCATCTGAAAATTAAAAGGCTCCTCTTCATAGATGTCATTTAAATGTTTCATTGCTATTATAAGACATATTTCCAAGACTGATAAACCTAAAGAAAAGAAAGAACAACTATGAGTTGTTTAAACAGCAAATATAGTAAAATAGGCCTTTAAACATCCAATATAGTGAAAGATCATGGTTTTGAGGAGTGGAGGAGGGTTAAGATTCTTGTATCAAACTGTGTTTTAGTCACCATTTTCTTTATAAACTTGTCACTTAATTTTGGGTTTAGTTTTTCAAACCTGCAAAATAAGAATCTTTAAAAACTTATAGAGGTGTTACAAGGATTAGAGAATACCAAGCACTTACTTTGTGGCCCACAATAGAAATAAATAGAAACTGCAAATATTGTATGATTTTTAAATCATACAGAGCTGAATGGCATTTATTCACAAAACCCCTAAACATCTGGACATCATCAAAAACTGCAACTGTTTTTTTTTTCTGCTGAAAAAATTATTCATTATTCCTTTAATTTCAAAGTGTTAGTGAACCTACAATTGACTAAGAAAGCCAGTGAATGCTTTTCAGTAGCACTTGGTACAATGAGAAAGTCAGTAGATATCTTATCTGGATTTCCAAGGGTCAGTGGAAAGCAGTGTCATGTTTCACTTGAAATGAGAGTGGCAGGAATACCAATATGAAAAGTACTGATTAGTCTATATGAACGAAGATGTATTCTGTGTGTGTGTATAATATATATATATAAAGCACCACACTCAATATTAACTATAATTTTGACCATAAAACACAAAATTAAGAAATTATTAGACCAGATTTCTCACCATGCACAATATTTGCTTTAGAATCCATGCTACAGAGCTGGTTTGCTTCCATTAGATCTGCTGAAGTCATAAATGGGTGTGATGTTGTTATTCGATGTAAAGCCAGCATCTAAAGAAATGTCAATTAGAAGAATTAATTAGAATGCTTAGTAAAATTATTTAATTTGAATATTTATTCTTATAAGAGATTAATATTAATGTATTGGGAAAGGTACTCTCAGATTTAGTTCTCTTAAAATATAGTGTCTCTCAGGTGGGCACTGGTGTCTTAGGCCTATGATCCTAGCTACTCAGGAGGCTGAGATCTGAAGATCATGGTTTGAAGCCAGCCATGGCAGAAAAGTCTGTGAGACTGTTATCTCCAATTAACCTCTGAAAAAGCAGATATGGTGCTGTAGGGACAGTGTTCAGGCTCCAAATTCAAGCCCCATGGACCCTTGGGGGGTTCAACTCACCGAAAAGTGCCCACAACTGACCCCCCTCCGCCAAAAAAAAAAAAAAAAAAAGACCAAGTGTATTCACTCAACTTGAAATGGTATGAAAGCTATATATGAAAACTACCAGTTTAAGTCTTCAAGGAGCAAGAAATATTTCCATTTCTCCACATTTTAACTTTGGTATACAACCCTAAGATATGTATTTTAAATGTTTTTTTTCTTTCATGCATTTGTTTCTAATGCAATTATAAGATTATTTCTTTGTTGCTTTGTATGTCCCTCCCCCACAGTATAACCCCTGCTTTCACTGTATTTGATGTAGGTATAATTTGTGGAGGGGAAGGGGAAAAACAAGTTGTTTAAATAAGGATACAGGTAGACCTGTTGCAACAATGAGAAGTACAAGTTGTCATGTCGAAAACGAACTTTTCAACTTGGGGGGGGAGGGAGGACTGGGTGAGGAGGGAAGGAGGATGGGGCTACAATGCTTGATAAGAAATGTACTCACTATCTTGCCCACGTAATTGTAACCCCTCTGTACAGTATTTTCAAAATAAAAAAAAATAAAAATTAAAAAAAAATAAATCCTTGCTAAAAGTTAAGGATAAAACGTAAGTTATATTTTAGGAATATGCATAATATTTTATGTTTTCATGTATCAGTTAAAAATATATTTAATTTAAAAATACAAACCAATAGCATGTGTAATGACCGCAGGTTTTTACTGACATTAAACTGCTTCTGTAGAACTTCTTGCACACTTCTATCTTCTGAGAGACGCTAAGGAAAAAAAAAAGTATTACTTGGAACAAGTCCTAAAATGAGCTAGTTACTTATTGACTGTGAAAAAGAGTGACAAAAATAATTTAAGGAAAAATGCAATTCAATATCTAAATATAATTTTATGCTTCTGGATGGTATACTTTATTAACTATACTTTATTATCTAGTATTTACATATTATTAAATCAATAAATTAAATTTGTACAATAAAATCAAAACCAAATTAACAGTCAACTAATTTCCTAATCATTTTAAGTTACTTTCAATGTTGCCAGGCACTGGTGGTTCTGAAAAGTAATCCTAGATACTCAGGTGGCTGAGATCAGAGGATCACAGTTCAGAGCCAGCCCAAACAGAAAGTCCATGAAACTCATCACCAATTAACCACCATAGGCCGAAAGTAGAGGTGTGGCTCAAATTGCTGAATGGCAGCCTTGAGTGAAAAAGCTAAGGGACAACACCTAGACTCTGAATACTGGCGCAATAACTAGTATTTAAAAAATTTCTTGCTATCTCTAAATTTCTAATTTAAGAAGGAAATATAGTCGTAACAGTGGGATGCAAAAATGCAGAACAAAGCACAACAAAGAATAAGAGTTGCTAGACTGGGAAAAAATGAGTTAAAGTACTGTAAGAATGCCTACACAGGCCAGGTGCCAGTGGCTCATGCCTATAATCCTAGCTATTAAGGAGGCTGAGATCTGAGGATCTGAGGTTCAAAGCCAGCTCTGGCAGGAAAGTCCCTGAGACTCTTATCTCCAATAAGTCACCAGAAAACTGGAAGTGGCGTTGTGGCTCAAGTGGTAGATCACTTGCCTTGAGTTGAAGAGCTAAGGGACAGCACCCAGGCCCAGATTTCAAGCCCCATGACCAACGCATCCTTCCCCTGCGCCCCCAAAAATGCTTACACAGTACATCACTTAACAGCCAAAAATGAAAGAAATGCTCTAAGTATGGGAACTGCATGAGTAATGTAGATGGTCATAGTATATTGACAAAAAGTAAGTAGTCTAATACTCTTAGGTTTCAAGAATTTTGCAAGGGGATTGCATAGAAAGACGAAGGAAAATCTAATTGGATGTACTGATATGGTCAACAATAGTTAAGAAACGTCTGAATTATTAAGGTTATATAAAGAGAGAATTAGCACATCTACTAAAGACATTTCTGAGGGAGAATTAATTGCTAAGAAGGATGGATTTGAAAGGAAAAAGAAAAAAAGTAAAAAACAATTATATACAGAGTATAGAACTACTGGTGAAAAGGAAGATACGGTCAAGAAGTAAGCTATGGGTTATCAATATTTAACCAGTAGGTATAACAAGAACAAAGTCAGAAAAAAGAGACAGACAATAAAAACTGAAGAGATTTAAGAGAGAACATCAATCTAGCAAACAAGTAAAGGAAACCTCCAGAACAATGTGGTGATAAGGTTTGCAAAACTAAACTGAGAATATATATTTGAGAAGAGGCAAATGGCTTTGGAAATTTGGACATCAGGGCCCTTTTAAAAAAAGCACTATCTAAAGGAGGCAATGAGACTCTAGTGAACAGGATTCAAGACTAATGGTGAAGACCAATGGCAACAGATAAAAGATCAGATGAATGGTCTTATCAGAGGTGATCCAGCCAAGAAGATTGGTACAGATTTTCAAAGTTGTCAACATAGAGTAAGGACTCTTAAAACATATCTAGAAACTAAGCATTTCTAGAGTTGCTACAGCTTTAACTACAAGTCTTCTACCCTAAGAAGATTCAGATTTGGGGAATAAAAGTTTCTCACCAAACATATTATTCGCTTTACTATTATTTTTAAACTCTATTATTTAAACATATACATATCCATCCATAAACAAGGTCAAATAACTTTTGGAAATACATAGAACTAACATAAAACAGCATATATGAATCAGTAATTATTTTTCCATAATCTTCGTATTTCAATAGCACTTAGGAAAACTACATTTTAGGCAAAAATAACAAAAAATTTTTCTTTGTAAAGCTTCAATTATAGGGCTGAGAATGTGGCTTAGAGGTAGAGTGGTTGCTTGACATGCATGCCCTAGGTTCCTCAGTACAACACAAACAGGAAAAAGCCAGAAATATTGCTGTGGCTTAAGTGGTAGAGTATTAGCTTCGAGCAAAAGAAGCTTAGGGACAGTGCCCAGGCCCTGAGTTCAAGTCCCAGGACTGGAAAAACAAAAACACAAAGAACAAAACAAATTAACTTCAATTCTCATTTATTTGCAAAACTCTCACTTTTTTTTTCTATAGTACTGTTTTTATAGAATTACCTACATTGGAGTCACTAAAAAATAATTTCTCTCATTAGTTTTTATGACTTTTTTTTTATTGTGAAAATACAGAGGGGCTACAATTACATGAGCAAGGTACTGAATACATTTCTAATCAAGCATTGCTGCCTCCTTTGTTTCCCCTTCATTAGGTTTTTAACTGTTAAATTCCATCTTGGTTCAAATATTTAAAGATAAGGCTATTATAAATAACCCCTTGAACTCGGCTATAGTATTTTGGGTAACTGCCTTTGAGGAGAATTAACTCTAATTCCACTGTGTGCTCTTTTCCAGAGATTTTTCTTATATTGCCATACTGGAATAGGGTTAATTCTGCTTACTTGTTGCATCATTTGAGGTAAATCTAAAACAAACATTTAAATTAAGCAGGATGCAGTTTCAACCCTATATTTTATGAAAGAGATTCCACAGATAACCCATTTTCTCTACAAGTACTTTTATGTTAACCTTGTAATAAAAAAAAAAAACAACACCCCAAAAACTACATAATCAATACTGATTTTAGATAGCATTCACCATATTGCCTATCCTAATGGGACAGGAGTTCTGTCCATGGTGCTGACAGATTTTTTGTTTTAAAGAGAAACAACATACAAAAGGCTAGTGGCACAAGATGATTGGCATATAAAAAATTAAATGAATTAAAAGACAGATCCTAGTGGTGCTAGCTTTGTTCATGAAAATTTAACTTCAAGAATGTCAAAAAAGAGAAGGTGGCTCAATGGTAGAGCGCTTGCCTTGCATGCATGAGGCCCTGGGTTCGATTCTTCAGCACCACATAAGCAAAAAGAAAAAAGCCAGAAGTGGCACTGTGGCTCAAGTGGTAGAGTGCTAGCCTTGAGCTGAAGAGCTGAGGAATTCAGGCCCCACGACTGGACAAAAAAAAAAAAAAGAATGTCAAAAATACTTGTATTTACCATGTACCTACCTCTAAGTTTGGCAGATACGTAGGTCTGTACCAAAGGCTGGACATCACCATAAGGAAACTATTTTCTAAGTTATCCAGAGGTATAATTCATCACTAATTCCCATTTGATTTTTATTAATTTTAATTTTTTCACAGTACTAGAATTTGAACTCAGAGCCTTGTATTTCTTAGGCAGTCATTCTATCATTTAAAGACTATAACCATAGCCCCTTATGCTTTCATTATATTTTGAATAGGGTCTCACTTGTATCTAAGATGGCTTGGTCCAGTTTGCTGTGCAGCTGGGATGATAGTAGTATACCACCATTCCCAGCTTTTAATTGGTTAAAGTGGGGGAATCTCATGAACTGTTTGCTAAGGATGGCTTATAATCATGAACCTTCTGATATCAGCCTCCCAAGTCATTAGGATTATAGCTTTAAGCACTCCTGTATTAAGTAGTTTTTTCAGCTGAAGAAAACTCCACAGGCCATCAAATTGAATTTGCTCAAACCCCTTATATAAACTGGCATATGATGTACACTTTATAAGTCATCTCTAAATTTCTTATACTCTTATTAGTTAATATAATACAAAATGTATTGAAGGGGAAACAAAGGAGGCAACAATGCTTGATAAGAAATGTACTCATTACCTTGCCCATGTAACTGTAACCCCTCTGTATGGTATTTTCAAAAAAAAATGTATTAAAGGTAAAAGTTCTTAAACTGGTTGTTTAGATTTTTTTTTTTTTTTTTTGTGGCTAGTCCTGGAGCTTGGACTCAGGGCCTGGGCACTGTCCCTGAACTTTTTTTGCTCACGGCTAGCACACTACCACTCAAGCCACAGTACCATTTCTGGCCTTTTCTGTCTATGTGGTATTGAGGAATCTAACCCAGGGCTTCATGCATGCTAAACAAGTTGTCTACCACTGAGCCATATTCCCAGCCCTGTTTATTAGGAAATGGATGATAATGCAGTATATAGTCACTTAGGAAGACAGAGAAAGAAAACAGGGACGGTAATAATCAAACGGTAATAATCAAACTCCAGGAGAGAACAAAATTTAAATACCAGACTGCCTTTCAATCTCTTAGGAAAAAAAAAAAGTCTTAGAGTAAAATTCAGCTCAGGAATTGCAGAAGTTGTTAGGTCTGTGACACACTGAAAAGTCAATCCAGAGGCCAGGAATAGAGGCTTGCTTAGAGGAAAAAGGTAAAAGAGGGACAAAATGGAAGCACTAATTATAAAGAATAAAATTCAACAATTAGATGCAATGACAAAATCTGCCTGACTTAACTGAAAGATTCAATCCTAGGGAAGATTAATTTGGGGTGGAATGGAGCATATAAAGTCATATAAAGGCACAATATCTGATTTTAAGAACAAAGACATAAAATTTATACTAGATGAAACAGTGAAGAATTATGAATGAGAACAATATGGAAAAGGTTAAATGAAGAATATTAAGCAGTTTCAAGCCTTTATATAAAAATAACAAATTCAAGCATGCAGACAGTTTGTAATGTTAGAGACCAAGTGAGGAGGAGGAGGGATGAAGATCAGTGATATAGGGGATACCTAGCACGCAGAAGGCCTTAAATTTGATACTCAGCACTGTGGGGCAAAAGAAACAAGATACACACACAGACATGCATTAGCCAGCAAAATAAAAAAGAATGAACAGGCTGGGAAGGTGGCTCAGTGGTAGAGTGCTTGCCTTGCAGGCATGAGGCCGTGGGTTCGATTCCTCAGCACCACATAAGCAAAAAGAAAAAAAAAAGCCGGAAATGGCGCTGTGGCTCAAGTGGTAGAGGCGCTAGCCTTGAGCTGAAGAGCTGAGGGACAGCGCCCAGGCCCAGAGTTCAGGCCCCACGACCAGACCCCCCCCCCCAAAAAAAAACAACAAAAAAAGAATGAACATGGATACAAACAAAATTTTCATTTTTGATATTAAATATTTTGCATGGATTAGTTAACAAAGTTTAATTTAAAGTTTTTAAATATGAGACTATATAACCCAAACAAGAATAATTTTGAGTAAATAAATGCACAATTATCACTTTGAATTTAATATTAGTATTTAAGATTTAATGGTAGAAACAATCTATCATTATTGCTATAACATAAAATAATCAATTTTAGAGCCTATAAAGAATGTAATTCTATTCAGAAAATGAATCATTACACGCTTAAATTTAATCCAATATTGTACATCAGATATCTTCAGTTCCTTCAGAACCCAGCACTACAATATTTTCCTTTCTGTTGGGATACATATTTCTTAAAAGATTACACATTAAAAAATTTGTTTCTCCTCATTCAACCTTATAGGCATAGATGGAATAGAAACTTTCTGAGGGCACAGCAAATAGGAAAGAGACCTGACAAATGGGATTATATCAAAATAAAAAGTTCCTGTACAGCAAAGGTCAACACAACTAACAGCAAAGTAACTAAACTAGAAGGACAGCCTACAGATTAGGAGAAAATCTTCACTAGCAATACATTAAACAAAAGCCTAATATCCAAAATATACAAGGAGCTCAAAAAATTAACCCCCCTCAAAATGCCATCAATAATGGGCAAAGGAATTTGAGAGACTTCTCAGAAGAAGAAGAAAAAAAGGCAAATACAGGCTGGGAATATGGCTTAGTAGCAGAGTGATTGCCTAGCATGCATGAAGCCCTGGGCTCGATTTCTCAGTACTGCACAGACAGAAAAAGCTGCAAGTGGCACTGTGGCCCAAGTGGTAGAGTGCTAGCCTTGAGCAAACTAAGCTCAGGGACAGTGTCCAGGCCCCAAGTTCAAGCCCAAAGACTGGCAAAAAAAAAAAAAAAAAGGCAAATAGACATGAAGAAATGCTCAATATCCCTGTTGAACAAATTAAAACTATTTTGAGATTCCATCTCACTCCACTTAGATTGGCCAACATCAAGAATTGAAACAATGAATGTTGGTGAGGGTGTAAGGAAAAGAAGCCTTATTCAATGTTGGTGTGAATGTAAACTAATACAACCACTCTGGAATTTTACTCATCCATTAGAAGGACAGACCAAGAACAAAGAATGCTATGTGAGGTAAACCAAGCTCAGAGACAAATAGTATGTGTTTTCTCTCATATGTTGAAGCTAAATCTAAAATATAACTGGAATGATCACCTATATAATGGACTCTAGGCATTCACAAATAGACTAAAGGAGGATACCCTTAGGGGAGGAATCCAAACATTTTAAGTTTTCTGAACATTTGAAACACTATTTATAGGAATGGAAAATGTTTCTCTCCTGCCAGGTGCCAGTGACTTACACCTATAAACTGAGCTACTCAGGATGCTGAGATTTCAGGATCATGGTTTGAAGCCATCCCAGTCAGGAAAGGACTTGAGAGATTTAACTCCAATAAATTACTCAAAAAAAAATCCAGAAGTGGAGCTGTGCCTCAAATGATAGAGCTCTAGCCTTGAGCAAAACAAGCTCAGGGACAGCACCCAGGCCCTAAGCTCCACTGCCAGCACCCCCTACCCCCAATAAAAGGAAGTTTCTCTTCTATGTATCAAACACAAAAATAACACACTCCTTCCCTTCTCCATGCACACTGAAACTTGTCAACACTTGTCAACAATTAAACTGATGCTAATACTGAGATAATCTAACATTGGTCAGTGTAAGTCTTTGAGATTCACTAAATCTAAAGAACATATGGATATTTGTAAGAGACTCAAGGATTTCTTGCATGGGCTGGCTTCAAACAGCAGCTCTCAGATCTCAGCCTTCTGAGTACCTAGGATTGCAGGCTTGAGCCACTGGCATCTGCCTATTTTAGTTACTTTTAAACAAGAAAACAGGTATATGACTTACATTTCTACAGTTACCAAAGCAACATTAGAAACCTTATATCAATTGCTTTAAGTCATACAACAATACACATAAAGTAACATTATTGACTTCCACTTACCTGAACATTCTCATTCCACTTCTCTGCAAAAAGCTTATCTGGGAATTCTGCAGGTAGAGATAACTGTTCTTTAAATATTTTAATGTATTGTGGAAAACCAAATGAATTCATTAAGTGTATCTGCCGATGAGAAAATCGTGACTTCACTCTTTTTTCTAAGAGCTCTAGAATATCCTTAAAAACAAATCAAAATATCTGTAAGACAGGTTTACAAAATATTATGGCAATGTTAGAAATGTAAGTAAACTATTATATATTATCATAAATATTTATAAGACTGTATGAAAGTAAAACATTTAGTCAGATGCCAGTGGTTCACAGCTGTAATCCTAGCTACTCAGGAGGCTGAGACCTGAAGACCATGGTTTGAAGTCAGCCTAGGCAAAAAAGTCTGTTAAACTCTTATCTCCAATTAGCCAGTACAAAGCTGAAGAGGAGGAGGCTGCAATGCTTGGTAAGAAATGTATGCATTATCCTGCCCATGTAATTGTAACCCCTCTGTACAGTATGTTCTCAAATAAAATAAAATTTAAAAAAAAAAAAAAAAAAAAAAGAAGTAGAACACCAGCCTTGGGTAAAAAAGTTAAGGATGACACATAGGCCCAGAGTTAAATCCCCAGACCTGCACACATGCACACACACACAAACATAACAACAACAAAAATAAACATTTAAGAAAGTCATGCAAACCATATAAATCCCTTTCTAGAAATCCTGCAAGCTTGGTGATGCCATGCTTTTTTCTTACCGTGTTATCCAGAGTTAATGAATAACATTTTAAGACTACAACGATGGCAAAAAACTGTGACTCTTACTAAAAATAGCTGTTACAGTTATTTTATGTATTTTAACATAGAAATGTGTGCACTCTATTAAAAAAAAACCCAGATTAAAAACTGAGATAAGCTGAATGCTGGTGACTCACACTTGTAATACTAGCTACTCAAATGGCTCAGTTCAAGAGGAAATAGATTTGAAGCCAGCCTGAGCAGAAAATTCCACAAAACTGCATCTCCAACATAACTAGCAAAAAGATGACTGGAGGTGTGGTTCATGGGCAAGAGCATCAGCAGAGCAAGCAAGCAAGCTCTAGCCCTAGTTGAAACCCTGGTAAGGACAGAGCAAATTAAGATTACAAAACACAATGAGATTTATTACCATTCATGAAAATTAAGCCATCTTCCATGTAAAAAAGATATATAAAGGATATGTAAAGAGGAAGGTTTTGTTTGCTATGCTAGCTAATTAAGTTGCTATGATGGATTAAAAGAATTATGGAGAAAATGGATAGGAATACAGTAAGACATTTACCTTTTGCTTTTTTAGTGATACTTTTATAAACTAGATATAATAATGCTATTTTTCCTTATGAAGAAATTAAAAATCAATTTACTATCACAAAACACTAGAAACTAAAGAGTAATTAATATGTACTATTTGTAAGGATATAAAGAAAAAGTTTTCTTTTTTTTCTTAGGTGAAGGAAACAACTTCCCTAAAACTGGTATGTGTTCAAGCTGTACATTAGAAGCACAGTAAGTTGTCTTCTTCAGTCATATAGATGAGTAGAAATTGTCAACGCTGACTCCCTTTTTTTTGTTTCAGTTCTGGGGCTTGAACTCAAGGGCTGGGTGTTGTCCTTCAGCTTTTTAGCACAAGGCTAGTACTCTTACACTTAAGTCATAGCTCCACAACTGAAGATTTTTTTTTTAGTGTGTGTGTGTGTGTGTGTGGGGGGGGGGGGTTAACTGGAGATAAGAGAATCACGGATTCTTTTTTTTTTTAATTTTGGTTTGGGATGGCTTTGACTATGATCTTTAGCCTGCTGAGTAGCTAGGATTACAGCTGTAAGCTACTGGAGCCTGACTTGAATCTCTTTTGAATATTCAATTTCAGCTGTTGCAGCAAATGTTACATGAAATCACTCAATAATTCTATTCCTATAGAACCAAGGAAATGACTGAAGAACAGTATAGGTGTTCCTCAAAAAATTAAGTTTATAGCTACCATGTGACCTGGTATCCACTTCTGAAAATATATCCATAGATATGAAGTACCACAAGTATCTCATACATAAAAACTGTAAACAAGTGCTGGGGCTAAAAGTGTAACAATGATGACTAGAGACTACAATTAGGAAAGGTACAGAGAGTCTGTGGGAAAGAGTGGTTGGATTTAATCAGTGTATACTCCCCATATAGAGGCAAAATATGACACATTCTTAAAAGAAATGCAAAGAAATGAAAATCCACAGAAATACGTAAATACAAGCAATATTCAAAATATCTTTAAAATGTAAATAATCCAAATGTCTTATCAACTGATGAATGAGCAAATTGTGGTATATGTATACAATGTAATATTATTCAGTGATAAAATGTAAGAACTGTTATACTTTGCGCCTACACCTTAAAAATCTTCTATGAAAGAAACCATAAAAGAAACATAGGTAAATTGTTGTATAAACACAAGAAGGCTAATGGTTTCTCAGTGCTAGTGAAGAATAAGATCTGGAGTGAGACTTAAAAAATATAGGGCTCTTAAATTATAATAAATGTTCAACTATGAACACAACAAACATAGAAAAATTATGTATAAACTATGTAGTTTAAATAAGTAAACAATATGGTATACTTACATCTTAGTAACACTGTTAAAAGCTTACCCCAAATGTAAACATTGAAATTTGATTTTAAAAAAAATTACTGCACATTTGAAGCTATAATAACTATAGTAGAAAAATATACTTTGAAAAACTTAAAATAGTATCTGACTTTTGTCTCAAAGTAATATTGAGATTACTTGGCTGCTTTTACCTGCTAATGTAGAACTCATACATATTTGCATTTCTCTTTTTTCTTCTGTAATTCCATTGGAAAGACTTTTCTTGTTTATAATTTGTGACAAATAAGACTAATACAGCATTGGTAAAACAAAATTTTCAAAACGTTTAAATGCTTAAGTAAAAAAGACAATGTGAGCAATCAAGTTTAAATTTTCTAAACATTGAATTCATTTTTATAAGCAAAACTTACCAATCTACATGTAAGACCAATAACTGCAACTGGAGTTTGTGCTGACTGAGAAATGTCAAAAAGATTATAGAGGAGAGTTTGGTTTTTATGATGAACAAAAAGATCAAATTCATCTAATACGAAGATTACTGGACAACTGCTAATCCGGTCACCTATGATAAATTGAGAGCTTTACATTAATATGTAATCATATTTTCTCCTAAATTTTCAAACTATGAAATTCAAATTTTAAGAACTCAATTAAACAAATATATATTGATAACTTATTTTGGGTAGGACACTTACTGATGATCCAATAGGAAAAATTACTTACAGTTCAGAGACAGACCCTACTCCCTCAAGTATTTTAGAGTCAGTCACTTGACTATAACAGTTTGTTGATATTAAAAAAATCATTTAAATGACTATAGACTGTGTTTATAATTACCTAAATTTAATTCTTTAGTAATTATGAAACTATCAGACCTTCAGCTATCTATTTAAACCTACTCTTGGATTGAAAGATAAATGAAGTATCTGAACAAAAGTATTGCTTCAAAACACACTGAATAGAAATCTAAAGTGTATCTTGCTAGTCAAATAATTTCAATCAACATTAAGGAAGGTCCGACTAAATTCACTTCAATTTCTTTTAACTAGAACTTGTAATACATTACCAATGAGGGAAAGCTCAGTATGATTTTGGATACATTTTTCTCAATACATTAATGGAAGTTCAAGCACTTGGGAAAAGAAAAAATAGTGAATGATGTTTCATATACATTCATTCACTAAGGATGCTTCATATACATTCATTCACTAAGGGTATCTTTACATTTTTAAAAGCTGTCAAGTTAACCTATAATAGAAAACAACCCTATTGCAGAAAACAGAAAAAGAAGCCTAGAGGGTCTTAATTTCTCCAACCACCCCACAAAAAATATATATATACTTATTTTATATTTAATTACCTAAATCAAATCTTAAATAAATAAATAGAAAAATCTGGTAAGAAACCAGTTACTCCATCAGTAAACAAATATAGATGCTGAACCAGAGTACTCAAATGTCTACAAACAAGCCTATGTAATAATAGAGAAAGTTAGGTACAGAGCCTTTGTAAGGTTAGTTCTGATGTTAGAGCTCTACTTTAAAACATATCAAAATAAATTCCAACCAAACTCAAATTAATTATCACCAAATTAAAAATGTCTGTATGAAATAGAAACAGCGGTGAAGGTTTTCATTATCTGGATGAGAAAAAAATTCTAGATAAATTTAAACTATGTAAAATATTTTAAACTTCTATTTACCAAATGTCCAAAGGAAATTAAAACAATTTCCATAATCAAATGAGATAAGGTCTTCACCAATAGGAACTACATAAGACACAAAAATATGAAATGATAAGCACCACTAATAGAACTATGCAAATTAAACTGAGAATGTTTTCCTTTTAAATAGCCAAACATGAAAATGTTTTTAAAGTCTCAAAAATAGCATTCTCAAATACGTTTATAAAAGTTTCTTAATATTAACTCTTCTCAATATGATGCTTTTTAACTAGAATTTTATCCATGACAACTCATCCCAGGAAATACATGGATAATCCTTTAAATTTTCTTATTATAAAAAAATTAAACAAAAGCCTTTAACTGGAAATTAAAAATTAGAGTGTCTTCATAAAACAGCATATAAATGAGTCATAAAAAAGATGTGGATTAAAAAAATTACTAAATATAAAGTGAGAGAAGGGATGGGTTAAGAGAGATGGGTGACAATGTTGTCAGAAACTTTGTAGTCATATACTGTTTTGTAGAATGGGAACTTTTTGTACAACTACTTAAAGATAATAAAAAAAAATTACTGAATACAGAAAACAAATTATTTTGTTCTTTTTGCTTTTTGAAATGATCTTGCTATGTAGCCCAGATTAGATTTAAACTTCGTTTTCGCTCCCCAGTGCTGGGTATATTGGTCTATGCCACCATGCCTAGGTTTGATTTTATTCTAGTAAATTTTTATGTATGTATGTATGTATGTATGTGTATCTATCTAATCTACCTACCTATGAATGATAAGTAACAGGTGAATAACACAAGAAATCAAAGTTTAATCTACCTACCTATGAATAATAAGTAACAGGTGAATAAACACAAGAAATCAACGTTAACTGCAATAATCAATAATAAGGAGAGTAATGATCATTAGTCTCTGTATATAAAAACACTTACTATCTTCATAAGTCTCTGTTTATAAAAACATGTACGATCTTCATAGTCAAGAGAGACTAAAGTTAAAAATAAGCATAATGAGAGAGTAAAAGGGAGTGAGACTGATCAATGAGACTCTTTCCCATCCCATAAAAACAATTATGCTGATAAAAAAATGAAAATAACAATAAGTCTTATTGAAATTAGTTTAAGGGATAGGAGAAATAAAGTAATGAAGGGGTCTGTTGGATTGAGATACATTGTATACATGTATAGAAATGTCACAATGGGCCAGGCACTTGTGGCTCAAGATCCTAGCTACTCAGGAGGCTGAGATCTGAGGATCGTGGTTCAAAGCCAGCCCTGGCAGGAAACTCCCTGAGTCTCCTATCTTCAATAAACCACTAGAAAACCAGAAGTGGCACTGTGGCTCACGCAGTAGAGCACAGGGACAGCGCCCAAGTCCAGAGTTGAAGCCCCATGACCGACAAAAAAAAAAAAGTCACAATAGTACTCCGCCTGCACAACTAATATGTGCTATAAGAAACCTTAATTTAAAAAATTATGTTACTACTACTGTCAAATTTTTATATTTAAAATACCTACCTTTTCTTAAGGCATCTAGAAGAAATGAAAGGTTTTCTGCAAAACTTCCCTGAATAACAAAAAAAGGAAAAAGTGATCAGATATTTAATACAATAACTAAGAGGACTGAATCTTTGATTTTTATATAGAATCGTTCGCTAACCCATGGCACTGAATCACAGCAATGAAGATGGTAATACTAGTTATGTTTAAAAGTCTGTATTTTCTAAAAAATTTAGTAAAGTGTTGAATTTATTTGAAGGTAGCTTTTGGAGAGCTGCTACATCTAAATAAAGTTGAAGAACTAGAATGAATTTCTTTTCACATATCTTCAAGCACAACTAGGTTCCTGTAAGTCTCAAATTAGTTTCTCCCACCAAAGAACTTACTATGAATTTAAGTGAGATCCCCAAGGGGGGCGGGGGGGGGGGGAAATCAGAAAAAAATTGTCAAAATATGAATGTTTGTCTTTTCAAGAGCCTACTGAAAAATTTATAGCATATCACATTTGGCTGTTAACTTGCAATGTACATAAAATATTTCTGGACACAATTTAAATATGGTAAATAAAATTTAATGGAGATGTTCCAAATTCTATGTAGAGGTTCCATTAAAACATTTTTTAAGTTATGAAATTTTATCTCATTAAAGTATTTTAAAAAGTCAACTTGTTTGTTCCTCAGCTGAACAATCTGATATGAAAAGCGTAATTGTTTTTTAAGAATTTCCACACAGTGATGATGACATCCTCTTATATCAGTAATATCTCCAAGGTGGAGCAAGAGATGTCATCCATGATTTGCTGTAATAAAACAAAGTTTCAAAGAGACAATCCACTAGAAAATCAGTGTTTCAAGTTATTCAGGTACGTTCTTCTGGCTTGTTCAAAAGACTATTATATCTATTATTAAATATACACTTATGTAAGGTATATTTAATGCAATTACTGTAAATATATCAAACAGGAAAGTTCTAGGTTAAGTGATTTCAGTTTTTAATAATGAGGACTCTGGGAGTGTGTGTGTGATGGGACTCTGGGAGTGTGTGTGATGGGACTCTGGGACTGGGAGTGTGTGTGTGTGTGTGTGTGTGTGATGGGAGTCTGGGACTGGGCTCTGGGAGTGTGTGTGTGTGTGTGTGTGTGTGTGTGTGTGTGTGATGGGAGTCTGGGACTGGGCTCTGTCCTTAAGCTTCTTTTGCTCAAGTCTAGTTAGTGCTCTATCACTTGAGCTAGGAAGTTTATTGGAGATAAGAGCCTCTTGGACTGGCTTTGAACTTTACCTTCAGATGTCAGTCTCCTAAGTAGCATAAGCTACTGGCATCCAGTGGCCACTATAATCTTGAAGCAAACTATATTCTGTCAACCTGAGATATTTAATCTATATAATGAAAAGATTAAACCAATAACCTCTAATCAGTCATCCTTCATTACCCTTGGAGGGCTGAATCTTGAATTTCCAAGATGCAAAACCTGTATATAATCAAATCCCCTATATAAAATGGTACAATATTTACATATAAACTACACAATTCAGGCTGGGAAGGTGGCTCAGTGGTAGAGCGCTTGCCTTATATGCCTGAGAGGCCCTGGCTTCGATTCCTCAGCACCACATAAGCAAAAAAAAAAAAACCCGAAAGTGGAGCTGTGGCTCAAGTGGTAGAGTGCTAGTCTTGAGCTGAAGAGCTGAGGGACAGCGCCCAGGCCCAGAGTTCAGACCCCACAACCGGACCCCCACCCCAAAAAAAAGAACTAAAACTACACAATTCTACATACTATACTTCAAATCATCTCTAGATTATTTATAATATCTAATATAATTTCAGTAATTTGTTGTTCTATACTTTTGATGGAATAATAAAAAAAATTCCATTAAATCTTAAAAAATGCTTAATTGCATAGCATGCTCTATGAAATTACGAGGGCCGAGGTACAAAGGAAAAACAAGTTAGGTCAGTAGTACATGATCACAATTTAACCTGCTTTCTCAGCTTTGAAAAATAAATTCTCATTTTTTGAGCATTAAAACGCTCTTGGCTTTTTATTCTAGGACCTAAGTTTTGCCTGATTACATGCCTGAATAGGAATCTGTTTGCTTATTACTTTTCATCATAGCTGGGATGACAAGACCATGCCGACACATTCAGCTTCTTCTATTGAGATGAAGTATAGCAGAATTTTCTGCTCTGCTGACCTGGAACTGCAGTCCATTTGAATTCAGCTTCCCATGTAGCTACTATGGCAGGCATGTATCACTGCAGGCAGCTACTGGTTGAGAAGGTCTCATAAGCTTTTTTGCTCAAGCTGGCTTCAAATAATGATCTCCTTAAAGTTATCCTTTCAATCTTAATCTCCCAAGTAGCCAAAATTATAGGCAAGAGGTACTGGCACCTTCATTACATATTTTTATGACACAAATTAGAATCTGAGACCCTGCAACAGAAGACTTATTTAATAAAGTAGCTGAAATGATACTTACAAAAACTTTATCTCCAACTACATTTTCCAGATTTAACTGTCTTGTGATTTCCTTCAGTGCAATTTTATCACTGATCTGCAGCAGTCCTGAAATGTAGTCCATTTAAACTATTTAATTAACATAAAGAATTTGACAGTAATCATATATTTTCCTATGGTTTTGAAATTTAACAAGAAAATATTAATCATGTCTGTTAGTTCTCATTGATTTCTTTTAAAAAACAAACAATAAGGTACTTGATAGATTTAAAAACTAAATTTTTGGGGGAATAATATTATTAAAAACAACAACAAAAATCAGAGTACTTGTATACGTTCTTTATTTCTTTTTTGATTTCTAAAACTAGTATGTAAAATGTGATACAGTACAAGCTATTGAACATGGATCTAGTTGAAAAAAATATAAGCACACAGATTTAAAGCATACAAGTGAATTTGTTTCACGATAGAAAAAGCATATGCAATTTATAATCAGTTCCATTGGGAAAATGACATGCTTACCATTCAGATGAACTTGTAATACATTTTCACTCACTTCTATTTCCATAAGCTCTTTCAAAGCATGATTTATTAGCTAAAAAATACAAAAAGTAAAGTATCTAATAATATGGAAAAGATTAAAAGAAGCTCATGTTCCTTTTTAAACAATGGTTTATAGAAACAGGTTGTTCTTTTTAAGTAAAAACTTTACAGTTTAAAGCATAACTAGAACGTAACTAGAACTACATCTGTGTCTTAAGGTTCCAAAACCATAATTGATACTCAGTTTAAAGTATAACTAGAACGTAACTAGAACTACACCTGTGTCTTAAGGTTCCAAAACCATAATTGATACTCTCAAAAAGCTACCTAAAATTCAAATGATAGTTTAGTAACAATTCTGAATTTCTCAAAGATATATTTCTCTATATACCACACTGAACTACTGTCCATTACAATTCTATGTATCAGAACATTGTATGTATCACTAACACTCTAGGCCAGGTGCCTGTGGCTCATGCCTGTAACCCTAGCTACTCAGGAGGCTGAGATCTGAGGATCATGGTTCAAAGCCACCTCAGGCAGAAAAGTCTAAGAGAGACTCTCATTTCCAATTAGCCACCAGATAACTAGGAGTGGTGCTCTGGCTCAAAGTGGTAGGGCACTAGCCTTGAGCAAAAGAGCTCAGGAACAGTGTCTGGGCTCTGAGTTAAAAAAAACTCCACAACTGACACAAAAACAAAAACATTTACTCTATCAAGTATTATTATAATTGGTGAAAAGCTATCCGAAGGTACATTAGAAAACACTAAATGATTGTACAAATTTTATTTCCACTGTTGTTCTACAGACTATTGTAAAGCACTTTATATGTTACCCTGGAATAAAAATGAGAAAAGGTTAGGGCACCAGTGTGTCATGCTTGTAATCCTGGCTACTGTTGCAACTAAGATCCCAGGATCATAGTTCAGAGCTACCTAGAGCAGGAAAGTCTATGAGACTCTTATCTCTTAATTGAGAGTAAAACTGTAGCTTAAGATGGTACAGGTCCTGAGTTAAAAGACCCAGGGCAAGCACCAAAACACATACATATATATGCATACATATCTCTCTATATATGTATACATATAAAATATAATTGTAACTATATGATATACAATATCATATATATTATATGCCTATAATATGATATATATTAGTACATAATATAATTATTACTATATAACAAGAAAAACTTCAGAATTGTTGCTTAACTATCATTAGACTTTTGATTACTTCTGAGAGTATCATTCATGGCTGTGGAATCTTAAGACTTAGATGTAATACATTCTAGTATTGTAAATATTTTGAAATTTTTTTTTAATAATAATATAATGAACATACATTGTGATTTAAATATATGTGAGAAAAAGAAGTTAAACTGAAAAGGAAATATTCTCTATTAGTAGCTAAATACACATTAAAGAAAAAGCCAGGCTCATTTAAAATATACTACCCTAACATCCTAAGGGTTTGCCTTTCTTTTATGATTTAAAAGAGGAAAAAAACCAAAATGTTACAAAATAATGAAATGAATTTTTTTCAATGTTACTTATATTAAAAATCATCACGTTTAGAAACCAAAGAAACACTAGAAATTAAAAGTTTTTACCAGTGTTTTTCCTGATCCTCGGGGCCCAATAATGAGTACAGAGTTACTTTCTCCATAGATAGCAGTTCTTTTAAGTAGCTCAATTAAGTGTCTAAAATGATATAAAAAGGCCAAATATTAAAATATAACATTGGAATAATGTACAACATTGTACATTTTAAAGCTAAATTTGAATTATGCATAAAAATTCCTCTCTTGCTGGGTGCTGGTGGCTTATGCCTCTAATCTTACTCAGGAGACTAGCTAGTGATGATAGAGGTTCTTAACCAGCCCAGACAAGGAAGTCCATAAGACTCTTATCTCGAATTAACAATCAAAAATCCAGAAGTGAAACTGTGGCTCAAGTGACATAGTGCACAAAAATTCAGGAACTACATGTAGGTTCTGAGTTCAAGACACAGGACTAGCACCAAAAAACACAAAACAAGTTCCTCTCTTCTTTGCCCAATTCAAATTTCTAGGAAAAGAAAAGATAGTAGAGAAATTCTTGTATGTATGGAATATATTGGGTTTTATGATGATAAGAGACAAAGGACAACAGTGACAGTTCTTAGAACCCCTATGTTTAGAAATCCCTTTTTCTACTAATACTCTATGGTCTTGAATTCCTAGAGCTGGCTGCCTGGTATTAAGAGCAAGAAAATCAGAATTCTCTCCATAATACCCAGTAATAAAAGCAATAGAAGATTGTTAAAGGGCTTTTTCATTATAGAAATATTTGTAGCAGCTTATGCTTCACGTGGTACTAAACACAAGACAAATATTTTTACATGTATAAAAGTATAGGGTAGGGCATATGGCTCAAGTCATAGAATGCTGGCCTTTAGTAACTGGAAGACTGAATTCAAAGTGCAGTACTAATAACAACAACAACAAGAAAAGTATACTTCAACCTTACTTAAGATCAAATTTGTGTTTGATTAAACTTTATAAAATTCATAAGGCATCTATAAATGTTTCTTAACAGATTAAGGGCAGAACTATACTTACTTGTATTGTACTTGGATTCCAAATAAGTTACTATGTGGACTCTGATGACAAAATCTTTCACGTAATGTTCTTTGAACCTGATAAAAACAAAATGAATATAAATATTATATATGCAATACAAAATGTAAAGAAAGTATGCTTGTAACCATCAGAAAAGTATTAATGAATCAATATAACCCTAAGTAAATACTTGTCTTAAGTATTCTGACTTCCAATTTGCATGAGTTATAAACTTAATGATTATTTTTATCTATCCAGACACAGAATTAATGAAAATTTAGTAGTGAAAAGTTTCAATAAAATGGAGACTTATTTAAACTACAACACTAACAAAAGGGTTGCTTTAAACTAAGTGAGGCAAGGAACAAGGAACAAAAACAGGAAGAAATCTAACAATTCAAGCTAATATAATAATGGTCATGCACCACATATTAATTGCTAAAGACAAATATATCTAAACACAATTATCTCAATCACTACCAATCTGTATGTGTCATAACAGTGAAGACTGGAAAATAGAAGCTTAAGTTTGTGTAGTTATGAGGACCTATTAAACTCAGATAAAAAATAATTAAAAAAAATATGATCCATACTCAGAAAGACATAGCAAACGAATTGGAAAGAAATGACCAAACAAAAAAACTACAAAAAACAAACCAACAAACAATCTATTAACATATATGAGAGAGGAAATTTATCTATACAATTCAGGAATGAAGATGTAGCTCAGCAATACAGTCCCTTTCAGGCAAGCTAAGGTTCTAGTTTCTATCCTCTTTACTGAAAAATGAACAACAACAACAAAAAATCTCAAAACGAACCATTGAAATGGGTTCAGAAACACCGCCCCCCTCAAGCTACATTTTGAGTATTTCTTACAATTAGAACCTTAGACTTGGTTATGTGAGGTAATTTGCTATCATCTTAAAAATCATTAAAGTCATTTCTTTATTGGATTTCTTGCTAATACAGAGGTTCTTAAGGGACAACCTTATTAGGTAGGGTAGCTATCTCAGATTTCGTCCATGAGCTGAAAAATAAAAGCCCCCAATTATTTCTGTCTCCCAGATTTATAGCACAGGACTTACTCTTCATATACCAAAGAGTTAAAACTTATGTTCTCTTTAGATGTACCACAAGCTAAGCAAAGAAAATTATTCACTAGGGATAAAAGAATGTATAATTAACATTTTAAATGAAGTAGAAATAAAATTGGGATTGTTGCCCAAAAGCCAGTGATATGAACTTATAAAGACCAACTTTCCTAAATCTTGTTTTATCTGTAAGTGTAGGAGTTACAGAAATAAAAGCTAGTTGTAAAACATTCAAATCAGTGATATTTGTAAAACAAAACAAAACAAAAAAACTCTCGAATCAGAGATAAACTCAGATTCAATAAATCAGAGCATCAATTTCTCTACAAAGATAAGAACACTAGAAATCAAAAGACAAACTTCAACCCTTTCCTTAAAAACAAAACAAAATCATCACTGAAATCTTCTAGGGTACAACAACTGTGTACCAAATACACAGGAAATTAATCTGTGCTAAGAAGGTTGAAAAATCCTAGTCATACTGTGACATATGTTAATAGCATACAGAAATTAATCTCTAAATTCAAAAATATATTTTACACAGAAATCCATATAAATTATACCTGATTTTGAAATGTTTCTTCTTATTTGGAGGCAGTACTGGAATTTGAATTTGTAGGGCCTTATTTATTAAGGAAGCATACTATTTAGGTCCTTTTGGCTTTGGTTGTTTTTCAGTCAGGATCCACCCCTACATGCCCCAGTGACTTGGCCTCAGACCCTGAACTTACTTACTTCCTCTGCTGGGGAAGTAAGTAAGTAGCTGGGCTTATAGATGATGACCCTCATGATTGGTATGGTCTTTAATATAGGATACCATTTTTGGCCTCGTATAGTCTGGAACCACAATGCTCCGATCTCCCAAGTCCCTAATACCTTCTTGTTTTCTGAGATAAGCTGTTGCTATGCAGTGTAGCCCTGTCTGGCCTGGAAACATCATCTTCCTGTCTCAGCTTTGTTGAGATTTGGAATTACAGGTATGCACCACAAAGCCTGACACTCAGTAAAATGGTTTTGGAAACATTTTTCCTAGAAAATACAGTGAGGTCTTAAAAAGGGCTATAAACAAACATAGTGTTCATTTGAAAAATAAATGTAGCTAAGGTCAAGTCAACAAATGGAAATGCTTATGTAGAAATATGCCCTTTTCCTAGATAAGTATACGTCTCTCAAGGAGGAAATACACTTACATAGTATTTGAAATATAGTCTGTGCTTAAGAAAAATAAAACTAGTTATATAAGGAAACTTCCTTAACTTAATAAAGGGTACCTATTTTTAAAAACCTAAAGGTTAATACTCATATGGCAAATGTTTACTCCTTGAGATAAGCATGTCCATTCTCACTACTCCTGTTCCAACATTTTATTGATGCTTTACCAAATTACTATGAAAGAGAAACAAATTAAAAACATGGAAATTGGAAGGAAACTTTCTCTACTTGTAAATGACATGATGTTGTACATAGGACATCTAAAGAATAAAATAAATGAGTTTAGCCAGGTAAGGTAAAGTATCAATTTATAAAAAAAATAAAATCAATTGTGCTGCTGTAAACTAGGAATTAAACAACTAAAATTAAGAAAATAATTCCACATAGAATGATACCAAAAAGAATAATTTAGTAATAAATTTAACAAAGAAAGTACTAAACTTAAGATTCTAAAGTCAGTATTTAAATAAATTAAAATCAATTACTTTAGAAATACTTAAGTAAAAAATCTAAGATATAAGTAAAGACAGAAAGGATGAAATTAGTAACACCAGACATTAATATGAAACAACTTCAACAACCACTGACAGAAAACGGTTTGAGAACACCATAAAAATAAGAGCATTTGTCATTCCAAACTTAATTTTGACAGCCTGGAAAGCTTTGCTTCCATCTGACTATTTATGACCTTGTACTTTTCCTCAAAGGAAAAGAGTAAGTCCTTCTAAGTGATTTTTTAAAAAGTCAACCTAAAAAGATAACTACTTCTCTGACATTTTTGCAAGGTAAGGCTTTGAGATTAAGGAAAAAACGTACTAACCTGTAAAAGGCACTCTGCATGTATTAAGTTGTTATTCTTTGATTTACGATTGCTCATTTCAACGAATCCAAATCCTTAAAAAATTAAGATGAATACTATAAACATTACATGTGTTAAAAGACAAAGGTTTCTAGATTAAAAAATACAAGTTTTTGAATGTGCAAAATGTTTAAAGTTTTCAAATGTAAACAATCCCCAATAGAAGCTTGACACTCAACATTTTATACATTTTACAACTACTTCTCTCTTTCCTTTAAGTCTATTATTCTTGTACCTTTCCTTCCTTTTCCACATATAGTTTTTTTCCTACCAATCCATCCAATAGATAAGACCATAGTCATAATCATCCCTTAAGGAAAATCCTTCACATCTTGCTTCACTCCGCAACCTACGTAGTATACTGACGTTAAATGTTTGCTTTTTGGGGGGTAAATACTCGAATACATTCATTTCTCTTTATTCAGAGGAGAGAGAGAAATGAATGAATAATTCATGAGAGAAAGAATGAATAATTTGTTTTTAAAATTCTCCTTGGAGCACTGTTTTGGTCTGTTTTTGTTTCCTATGCTGGTCATGGAGCTTGAAATCAGGGCCTGGGCACTGGCATTTTTTTTTTTTTGCTCAAGGCTAGCTCATGCTCTACCACTTGGGCCACAGCTCTAACTTTGGCTTTTTGGTGGTTAATTGGAGAGAAGAGTCTCATGGACTGTTCTGCTCAGACTGGCTTTAAACAGTGATCCTCACATCTTAGCTTCTTGAGTAGGTGGGATTACAGATGTGGGCTACAGGCACCCAGCTCCTATAGGAACATTTTAGAAAGTAATCACAATAGCTTAAGCAAAATTTACTTACCAGACACATTAAAAAGACCTGGTTCATTTAACTCTGAAAATAAATTTAGCAAATACTCTCAGAATCTTTTTAAGGGGACACAGAAGAGTTAAATAATTTTTTTTTTTTTGGATGCGGTTGTGGGGCCTGAACTCTGGGCCTGGGCGCTGTCCCTCAGCAATTCAGCTCAAGGCTAGCGCTCTACCACTTGAGCCACAGCACCACTTCCGGCTTTTTTCTTTTTGCTTATGTGGTGCTGAGGAATCGAACCCTGGGCCTCATGCATGCAAGGCAAGCGCTCTACCACTGAGCCACTTTCCCAGTCCCAAGAGTTAAATAATTTAATTAAATCAAGTAGCATACAAATGGAAAATCTATTATTTTGAATCCAATTAAGTCATAATACTTATTTAAAAATGTACTTCATTTTCCCTAAAGCCTTCAGAAGATGCAGTGTTTATATTAGCCTGCTAAGGGCTGTTTTGGAACTTCTGACCTCCAAAATTCATCTGATAAAGATCACTAAGCTATTATCAAATCACCAATGATTATTGTCATGTTGTGGTAGTAAAGTCAGCAAAAATTGGAAAGGAGGCTACATCCAGACATGTTTCCCCACTTTGAAATAGTTTCACAGCTATTCAATGGACAAAAGCACTTTGGTGAGGTTTGGAATTCTGGTTTGAAATGATGAAACTCCAGAAAAGTCCCAAACTATCAAAATTCAAAACATTATGTATAGATGTAATGTACCTCTATAAAATTAAGACTATAAACCTAAGCCCAATGTTCACAAAGCTATCATAATCAAAGCAAACCCAGCATGCTACAGATACCAAAACAGATATACAGACCAATGGAACAGACCACTTAGCCCAGAAATACCAAGAATATTGGTGATGTTAATAAGCTGATCTTTAAGGTCCCAAAAATACATAATGAGGTAATGATAGATTTTTTTCAATAAATTTTCCTGGAAAAAGTGCATCCACATGCAGAAGAATGAAATTTGACTCTTATACAAGATAAACTGTCAACTGAAAATGGACTCAAAACTTAAACCTAGGCCCTGAAACTATACCAACTTGTAAAAGAAAACACAGGAAGACATCTCTGTTGACACTGATCTTGGCAAATTTAGAAATGACCCTCAATACAAAAGCAAACAAGCAAAAAATTTTAAAAAAATCTTCCACACAGAATTACTCAATAGTGGAGGGACTGAACTACCTACAGAATAAAAAAAATTGTGAGTCTTATGTTTTGTAAGAGTTTAAGATCTAAAATATGGGGCTGGGATGTAGCTCAAACTACCAAAAAAGAAAAAACAAACAAACACCAAATCCAAGCTTAAAAAACCCCAAGCCATAAGAAGATCTAAAATATGTTAAAGCTCAAAAACTCAGCCCACACTGGTGGCACACGCCTGTAATCCTATTCAGGAGATTTAAGGATCACAGTTTGAAGCCAGTACACAAATGAGATTGTTATTTCCAATTAAACACAAAAAGCTGGAAGTGGACTACAGTGTGACTCAAGTGGTAGAGCTCCTTGAAAAAAAGTTAAGCAAGAACACTGAGTCTCAGAGTTCAAGCTCCAGAAGAAGCACAACTTATAAATAAATAGTTCGATAGATAAACAGATACTCAGCCTGAAACAAAACTATTAAGAATGGTCAAATGACCTAGAAAGGCATTTCTTGAAAAATGTCATAAAAATGAGTAAAACAAGAAAAAAAGAACCTAACATGAAAATTCAAAGCAAAACTGCTCTGATGAGGGGTTAGGAGGGATGGAGGAAAACGATGAAAGGGTTGACATCCATCAAGATGCATTTTACTCATGCGATTCTACCTTACCCCAGTTAGAATAGCCATTATCAAAAAAACAGTAACAGTAACAGATTCTAGCAAGGATATGGCTAAAACCCCTAATACACTGTGGATGGAAATGCAAAGCTGTTCATCTACTCTGAAAAGCAGTGTGGAGGCCCTCAAAAAATTAAACACAGAACTACCCTATGATCTAGTAATTCCACTCATGGTCATTTACCCAAAGGATTACAAAGCAGAATACAGGAAAGCCACCAGCATAACTATGTTCATTCTGGCACTACTCAAGGTATGGAATCTCTTCTTGTGCCCCCCAATGGATGAATAGATCAAGAAAATTGGATATATATACACAATGAAATTTTATTCCTCCAATAGAAAGACACGGTACCATTTGTCAAGAAATAGAAAGACTTGGAAAATAAAAAACTGTTAAGTACGGTCAAGCCCAGACAGCCAAAGGATCCATGGTTTCCCTTATACATATAAGCTAGAATAAGCTTACAAACTTTTTAAGTGAATACATTGGATGGTATCTAAGTGTATAAAAATGGATTAACTGAAATATGATAGATTTGAGGGAGAATTAAAACAGTATATTTCCTTAGAAAGGCAGAGTCGAAGTTAAGTAAAAAAGAAACTAGGAAGTGGGTACTTGAAAGAGGCAGGGTAGAGTTAAGGGGAAAAGGGCAGAAGAATGAAGAAAAGAAAGGGAAAGTGTAGACAAGAATTCAAACTATATCCTACAAAACTAAAAAGTGAGACAGAAGAGGTGGGTAAAGGAGGGATGGGTGAGATATATTGTGTTCATAAACTGCTTGGTTAAATGGCAACACCTTTGTACTACTACTACTAAAGATATAAAAAAAAAAAATCAAATAAATATTTTTCAAAATCCCTAAAGGTATCTTAGCATACCTAGTAGGAAAACAATTATCAAAAAGACAAAAGTCAACAAATGTTGACTGAAGGTGGAGACAACAGAACTCTTGAGACTACTGGTAGAATGTAAATAGGTACTGCCAGTATGGATTAACAGGAAGACTTTACTTACCAAGGTAAAAGTAAAAGTACCATATTATCCAGCAATATCCTTTCTGGATATATATGCAATAGAAATGAAATCAGTATCTCACTCCAATGTTTAATGTTCAATTTTAAATGTTCACCATAGCTAAGACATATAATGTAAGTGTCTCTGTCCATCAATGAATAGAAAAGCAGTATATGTACACAATGGAGCAACATTCAGACTAAGAAAAAAAATCTTATAATTTACTAATATATCAATGCATCTGGAGATGTTAAAGGAAATAAATAAGCATGGAAAACCAGATACCATGTAATTTAACTTACATGTAATCCTAAAACCACCGAAGTCAAAGAAGTAAAAGATCATAATGGTACAAAGCAAAACATAACAGAAGCACAAGATAGGCTTTCGTTCTAAACAATGTCTTTCACTGTACTTCTTTGACAGGGAAATCAAGGTTCATGTGCCTTCAAAGGCAGCTTCAAACAAAGGTATCCAGAACTAGGACAGATATACATATAGATATTATTCATTAAGAATTTTCAACTCAAAATAATACAGTTTTAAATTGGTAATAAAGAATTATGAGATGATCAATCAATATAGTTAAGTGGATCCCAATAGGTTCAAAGACTAATGGTGCCAAAAAGCCATTAAAACCTTAGCAGTGATTCCCTACATTCTATTGTCAGAGTTTCTGATTTAATCAGTCTAAGACAGAACTTGAGAACGTGCATTTCTAATAAGTTGCCAGATAATGTTCCTGTTGACAGTTCAGGAACCACACTTTATGAGCTACTGAGGAAAGATTACTGTACATTCAATATCAAAGCTGATAAAACTAAAAAGATACAACAGAAGACAAATCCCTGGCTACCAAAAGAATCTTCTTAAACCAACCTGAGCTAAAGGTGTAACAAATATTTGAGGATCACTGGAATGGGATTTGTAGGAAGTGCTGAGAATAGAAAAGGAATCAGGAATTCAAAGGACTTCCATGATAAAGAAATCTGAAGTCTCAAGTCAGAAAAAAGAAATCTTAGATCACCTGCTACTAGGAGAGACAAAAAGCCAGAAGGGTTTTATTCCTATAACAGAAATATGACTTTCAAACAAAAACTATTGTTTTGTAATTCAGGTACTTGGATTTGAACTCAGGACGTTTTACCAATCAAGATGCTCTATCACTTCAGCTATCTATGTGCCCCTCCCTAGACCTTTTTGTTCATTTTTCAAATAGTTTCACATTTTTTAACCAGGGCTGGCACTGGGACTACAATCCTCCTATGACCTATTTTATAGTTGAGATCACCATACTCAACTTTTTGTTGTTGTTGGCTGTGAGGCTTGAAATTAGAGCCTGGGTGCTGTCCCTGAGC